AAAGATAACTGAAATATATAGAGGATATATAGCTGACCAGTTTGTGAAAAGTAAATAATGCATATGCATGTATAAGACGTCAAACAATTTTGGAGAAAATGGTCAGATTCAAGCGTTTATTACCAGGATTAACTAAACACTGGATTTTCAAAAGAATGTGAAGTTTGCGGCTGCATTTTTGCAGTAAATTTGCACAACGTTCTTGAATTAATCATTTATTAGATGCACACCGGTCTGTTATTGTAAGGACATCGACATTATATTGTCAAGCCCCTAAACATGACGCTGAACAAAACAAACTGTGATTGGTTGCGTTACATGTCAGTCAAAAGTCCTCTTGGGCGCTCCTTGGCCAAGAAAAGCTGTGATAGAGTCCAATCCTTTTGCCATCATTCTGAAGGTCTGGATACGCGAGACTGTGTCCCAGTTGGCGGTGAGTACTGTGAAATTCTATGTGTCACTGTATTTAGTGCAGATCACGTGTGATCAGATCACAAAAATTGCATTGTTATACCTGATGGCAATAGGGCCTATGAGTCTATTTGCGCACCTGTGTGTGTTCATGGCATCCTAAGCCATCTGCCTTTTCTTTCTGGATCATGCTCCCTTCTCAGTCTTTCATTGCTTTCCCTGCCTTTATTTCCCATCACGCCGGTATTATTGTTGTAACCCTTATTTCTTTACTCCAGTCTCTTCGTCGTGGTTAACGTTAATGAAACACGGGTTACAATGGTGAAAGTTCACATTTCTTCTTTAATCAGAAGAATCGGCATAACAGCATGAACAGCCGCCTAACTCAACTCACTTCACTTCATTTTTTTTTTCTCCCAGCACGCTCTGCCTTAAAGGGGCAGGAGCACAAAATAACCCTTTGACATACATATATTTAACTTTGTATGAAACAAATAAAGATGTATGAAAATACTCAGATTATTATTGTTTAACATCTGTTTCTTATGAAATAAAATAAAATAAAATAATGAACTAGCATAGCAAATATAAAGGTTACATTGTCATATGACGGTGGCTGTGGCTAGACCTGACCTAGGAGCCATGACTCATTCTCAACAACAGAAACACTTTAACATGACCTGGAGAGCTGCCATTAGACTGCCAGAGATCCCACATCACATCACAGCACAAACAACACACCACGGACACAAGGCCCTACACTTTAACATCTCATATTGCAAGTTGTTATTTTCTTGTACCTGACTAATTTATTTATATGAACAATGTTTTTTCTAGACCACTTTGCAAGATATAAACAACACTGGTCCAGAAACACTTCCTGTTTCAGTTTTTAACTGTTTTCTTTATTTCACATGTAAAGAACAAATCTTAAAGATGTTTGTTTAACTTTTTGATTCAGTTTTATGTTCTGTTGGTTGCATTTTATCCCAGCTTTTATGTAGTGTTAAAAAACTGAAACAGGAAGTGCTTCTGGACCAGTTTTGTTTACATCTTGCAAAATGGTCTATAGACCCATGTTTGTGGTTGTTATAAGCCTTTTTAATCATCAAAATATTTATTAGTGGTGATTTCTAAGGTGTATATCACTTTTTATATTGCGCATTTGAACAAAGCCCAAATTCTTGAGCATTTGGTTTATCTGCAGTTTTAGTGTTATAAAAATGAAAATTGCTAAAACTAAATAATTAGGAAATTGCCAAATTTCAATCAGTAAAGGCAGTGTTTATATAAGGTTTTATATTCCCATCTATCTTTGAAAGTGGTAAACAAATTTATTATGCTGTCAAAAGCAAGTCCATAAGCAAGCTCCTAAAGTTAGTTTAGAACTACGCTATCTTTCTCTCTTATGTTTTTGTTTGTTTGTTTGTTTGTTTTTGTTTTTTTGGTGAATTGTCAGAAACCCATCACAGTATTTGTTATTTTTTCAATCAAGCTAAACCATAAAAGTCTCCATTCCATAACTGCTAACAAACAGAAAGGCTTAAGTGTCTAACAGTTAAACAGTACAATGTTCTTAGCTTATTATTTGCGTGAAAGCTTTTTCCTGCTGTGAACTCTGAATAGTTCCTTTTAGACTCTTCAAATGATCTGTACTTTCCAGACAGAGTAATAGATTACAAGCACTCAAGAAAGCTTTGGAAGTTAGCAAGCCCAAACCGATGCAAGTTTTTGTGTGTGTTTGAGACAGATATAAACAGCACTCCATAAATCTGACTCCCTGTGGAGAAGTTATATGAATTCTGAAGCCGATCAGAGAAAAGTCATTCAGTGAGGGGGAAATCAATTTTATTTAAAGCTCTCATAAGCAGGTCACCCTTGCTGACGGCCAGTAAGAAAGAGTCCGGCTTCAAAGAAGTCCATGGAAACTTAAGAGAAAGCTTATTACAGTGGAAGGCTGCAATATTAGCAATAATGGCTGCCTACTTGTTGGATCCCGGCAGGTTTATTCTCTGATCACCAGGGCCTGGATTCCAGTAATCTGTATTTGTCACTCAAAAGTACGTAGAACTTGTACGGATGTACCTCAGATATACAAACCATAAGCATTGCTTGATTGATGTTGATCACTTAAGCTTCACTTTCCTCGTTTCCAGACAGCATGACATTTATGGAAATATTGCATTGGAATGCTCAGAAGTAGATGAAGAACCCTTCTGCGTGTGCCCTCTTGACTTCATTGTTTTCTTGCTCATTCAGAGCTCTGTGATCATCTCTCCACAACTGCTCTAATGTTGATTAAACATGCTCAATCGGCTGAAACGCTTTTCTTGTTATTATTGGCAACATGCTTTTTGCTGAAGCTCATTCGGGTAACTGCATTTAAAGGGGCATGCTGCTCTTCTCCGCTGCTTGCAACAGAAGAGCACCCCTTTGTTGCTGTTCTTCTCCTGTAAGAGACATGCTGCCCCCAGTCACTTCTATTTCAGAAGCTCCTTTCCAAAAACCTCTGTCTTGCCTTTTCTTCCCACATTTGATCACACTCAGACTCATGAACATCTTTAATGTTTGGGTCATTCAACTGCCCTCACACCAACATGTTTTCACTGTTTCACCATCTTTAATCCTCCCCTTATTATACCCAGCAGGGCAGTGTATTTTCCAATCACGTACTGGCTCATTGGAGGGCTTTGTAGGGCTGCGGTGCCGGAAGGTTGACATTAATAATGTGATTGTGCTTTGCCCTCTCTTATCCAGAGGTGGCAGAGGGCAGGCCTCCTCCTGCTGCTGAGAGAGAGAGGCAATCAGCATTTAATCTGCAAGACTGATTAACTTCTCATTACAATCAGACACACACACACACACACACCATGCAGGCACTCAGGCACACAAATTCATGTACAAATGTACGGGGCCGCACACAGACATATGCACGCAACATACACTCTCACACTCCAGAGGTGGATCTGTGATTATGCCTTGGAGATCAAGTCAGGCCTATTTAGGCAGCTCTTGCAATCAGTATTATTTATGCATTTCATTTCAAACTGTTTGTAAGGAATATTGCAATGACAAGATAATAATGGCTCAAGTGTAATGTCACGGTCTTTGCTGAATCACCTGGGTCTCTCTCTCTCTGCTCAAGTGGCATTTCAATCAGATACATTTTGATTGTGAATAGAGTAAAGAGCATTAAGGAGCAGTTTTTCGTGTTAGAAAATAGAAACATGAAAACTGCTTTAAATCACTGCAGTTTTAAGGAGAAAGTACTCAGCAATGGTGTTGACTTATGACTTTGCACATGGTTTGTCTTAAAGCATATTAAAAACACCAAATAGACATTACTTAGACAACATTAAAAACCTGATTTGCACCAAAGGGTTTTAGTAAGCATGTTGTATAGCTAACACAATGTCAACCAATTATTACATTAGCAATCAGTGAATATATATTTGGCAATGACTTGAGTGCAGTTTTTCAGTTTTCTCCAGTTTAAATATCAGATCATGAAGAATATGTAAGAAAAAATGAATTGGACATCGAAGATCAAAAATGAAGTTTATTACCGCATAGCAGTGGCAAGGCACACAAAGCACCTTGGGTTCACCAGCGTCAGAATGAACCCCGAACTCATCCCAGCGCAAACATTTTATACAGTATTACATCTGTTTTCCCCCTCAGCATGTAAATGAAGCTTTCTCTTAAATGTAAATCAAGACAAACAGATTCGTCTTCTCTATCAGCGTGGAGCTGAAACTCTGTCTTTAAATGTAAATTGAAGAGAACGAGACAAGTGGTGCCTCCGTGTCTATGTCTTTGTTATTCCAAACTCTGTCTTTAAATGTAAATCGAAGGGAACGATACAAGTGTTAGAGTGATACGGTCAAATGTTTAAAGGTGATAATATCTCTCAGAAACTCCCTAATCAAGATGGTTCTTGAATACCCACTGTCTTTCCCACTCATCAAACGTGACTCTGTGATACGTTTAAGATTGTAAGGAATTGATTCTATGATAAATAAGCTCTTTCAAGTGAAGGAATATTTCAATATAATCTATATTGGAGTGGAAGCTTGATCGGAGCAGACTGTAATTTCTTACAAATACATATAAAACTCTTTTTACTCTCCTCCTCTGACAGAAAGATGAGCACACAGTTTTGAGTTTCTAAACCATGCTCCTTACAACCTTGGGATACGCACAAATAATTTCAGAAATGTCAGTTCAACTGAGGCGTGTAAATAAAGGCCTCTCTGTTGACACCTCATTTGAATGCTGAGCAGATGACCTCTGCATTTATGAAGGTCTAGAGGAGAAACATGAAAATTCTCAGCAGAGAACCAAATCCAGTCCCGTTCTTCAAACATGAGTGCACTTGCAAGCTGAATAACAAAATGATGGACATATTTTATGCCTTCAGAAAAATGTATTTCAGTTTCATTATTGAGATCTGCTCAAACATTACTGATGGGTAACAACAACAAAATAAAAGATCATGTTATTGTCTAGATTTTTTAATTCAGATTTAACAACCTGTTGTCTGTAAAAATACTTGAAGCTAAAGAGTTTTTGATATTTTCTTATTCCAGATTGGAGACAGCAGTTAGCCTGGCACCCAAAGATGAAGAGGAGAAAGTGAAAACGAAAGACACGGTTACAAAAAAACATGAGAAAAATGGACACACAAAACGGAGAGGAAGTAAACGCCACAGTCACCGTCGAGCTCGCAGGTCTGTATCTTCTAAAGCTGTTCCTCATACATACATCTTCCATCAAAGACATTTCAGTGCTCAAGAGCAAACACTTATACAAAAATAAACTATTTGTATACTCTCTGAAAGTAAAATAGCTGATTTAAACCAACCTTGAAGTGGTTAAACAGCATGTGCTGTTGAAACCGTTGTACAATTTAACCATAGAACCTATAAAGCTATTCAAATGTGAATTTTATTTTGACCCCAAAGACGATCAAACACATGGAAATAAGCTTCTTCCTCACTCTGTAAGAATGAATTCGAAACCCCAAACTTTAAAGCATGGCAGGCACAAACACTCTTATCTCCTTGCCACAGTGTAAACATTCAGGTGTTGCTGGAGTTTTTTAACACGGGTATCTTTTATGGGGTCCTCTTTCTTCCCATCCACAAAAATTCAAACTCCACCTAGTGAAAGGAATTGATTCAGCAATGGATTCTCAACGGCATAATTCCACCGATACCTTCAAAGTGTGCGCGATAACACGGGCCAAAAGAAGTGCATCATTATGCAAAACAGGACGAACGCCAGATCAAGTGTTATCTTAAACATGCTAATCTCTCTAGTTGAGTTCATGCTCAGTTCCCTGCCAGAAAACAGCAGATACAAACGGCTGAGATTTTATAATCAAGCTCGCAACTGCAGCTAAGCAATGCAAAATCAAACAATGTTTAAGTCAGATCAAGCTAAACCAGCAAAATCCACAAACAGCTTTCCTTCATCTGTACAACTAAAGAATCCGAAATCACGTACATAGCATATTTTCGACATGCTTACTTATCAAAATAAAATAAACATCTCAAATTTGAATTAGTATTATTGTATAGTGCCAATTTCAGTCTCAATAATCTGACATTTAAATAGAGGGCTTCTGTCCTTTTGGGATGGCCCTCCTATTTAGTCTTTTTATTAGTCTTGACCATTCTTTTGACATCCTTCGGAGTGAGTTAGTAGTCAAAAGCATTATGTGGGATCTTTTGCTTGCCCTGTTTTCTTTTTTGTAACAAGCTTAAGCCTCTCAATTTTAATTTTGGGAAACGCGTTTCATTTTTTTCCCCAAATCTGAAAGGTACAGTGCTGGCCATGTAAACTATGCTGAAGCTCTCAGTGAAATGTCAGTTATAAATGCTGACAGCCTTTTAACTCTCTAACCTTGTCTATTCTCCTGAGTGTGTCAGTGCTCAGTCTAACTCACAAGACCACCCTCTTCTGACAGCTGAAGTGATGGTGGTCATTAGGGGTATGTCTGTTACCTGTGCGCCTTCAAGGTCAACTGAAACTGACAGAAAGACTTTAAAAGCTGGAGAGAAAACCCAAAAGCTAAATAAAAGGAATAAATTGGCACATCTGAGACGTGAAATTGATCAATTGCCTCAAAAGTTATGAATTGCTTCTAAAAAGAGTTTGATATCAGAGCTGATTGGAACTAGGGCTGTCATGATATCAGATTTTCACTACACAAATGTTATGAACAAACGATAACACACAATAATGATAATAAAACAATATTTATAGGAATTTTGGGAAAAGTAATGCTAATGTAGATGTCTCCTCTGACATGATTTTGTGCAATACTGCCACTTGCAATGTTGAAGGGTCACTGTCACTGGAATATTTTGACAGTTTCATATGTGTATTATTTACACAATATCAAGTATCACAGCTGTTGTCAATATTGCAACACGCATATTTGGGACTGATCAGGGCCCGATTCCCCAAAACATTAAGTAGTTTTTAACCTTAACCTCTCTTAACATTATGGCACGATTCCCGACACATTGGTACGCCCAATATATCTTCTGAAAGTCACACTTTCGTAATGTTGGTCTGGACCATTCGTAAGCTCTCTCTTAGCGTTGTTTGAGCTCAAGACGCTAGTTGCGGCCACTGTGCAGCTGTCTTTAGAAATCAGCGCAGCGCAGTACAAGTCAAACTATGGTACATTGTTGGGGCTCTACAATGATTTCATGTTATGGACATTTTAAGATGAAAAATAAAATATGTTAAGAAGAAGCTTCCTAAGGGACACTTCAGGGAACACACTTAGAAACATAAACAACTTCTGTGAGACATATCTTTTTGAGTCTTCTTAGCAAGCTAAGAGTGAGTGTTATCGGGGAACCGGGCCCAGAGCTGAACTGTAGGCTGACAGAAGTCCTTAGGGGAGCATTTTTCTCTGTACATTTTTTTAAGGATAGTTTATTAAATTTTTATTCAAATCAAACTCAATTCAAACACACCTTTATTCATTGAAAGGCTAAGGCATAGACCAGAAATGCAGGTCAGCTGTAGCTTTTTTTTTAAATGATTGCAGAATTGAATTTCCCATGCATTTGATACAGTTTAAGAAATATAGAATCGGTTTGGTATGCAAGTAAGACAAACATTGTTACAAAACAATTATCCACCAGGGTTAAACTAAAAACCAAAACATTTTTAATTACTTAAAATAAAATAAGCATTAACTGAAATAAAATAAAATTTAACAATCTTAATTTAACATCAGCTAGTTGCCAAAGTAATATTCCCATTTTCATTTTGGGTGCTTTACTAGCACTTTTGGTTCACACACAGATTCAATTGACGTTAGAGTTCAGTTCATTTGGATGATGTGAACACTGTTTTCCAAACTTAGGTGTGCACTCGCAAACCATAGCCGAGTCCACATAAAAAGGTTGGTCTGGGGTACGGTTCATGTGAACTCAATCGAGAAAATGAACCACTATTGTTGGCCTATGATTTGATAAAACTGTGTTTGTGTGTGTTCTCTCTGACTTTCCTGTCAATCGTGACTGACAAACTGCGATCAGAGAGAATGTATATCTAGTTTCTGCTGGATTCCCGCGTTCTTTAGAACATTTGCAGTACATGTGTGGTAGATAGACGCAAATGCCGTTATGTGCTAACACTATGAATACAAAACCAAAGGTCTAAAAACCACAATATAAAAGGGAGGAATGCATTTTGCCACCTTCTCCTTCATCGTCATTACAAAGCAAAAACCCTTAGTTTATCTTGATGTAGGCCTACTAAAATAACTAAAACTGAAATGAAAATTATTAGAACTATATATATATATATACAGTATATATATATATATATATATATATATATATATACTATTGTATGTGATATGAAAAAAAGCGCCAGTCGTCCCGCTAGCAGGACGTTTTTGTTACAGACAAACGATAAAAGAAATAAAAACGGATTTGGAAAGGGCTTGAACCCAGCTTTAATGTGGTCTCAACCTGTAATATGTCAAATTTCACCATGTGATGGGTTTTCCCTGATCACATCACATATATATTAAAATATATAAAAATGACAAACAACACAACAAAATTACTAAAACGTATTTAAAACTTATTTTCAAAATTACTAAAACTTAGTAATACAATAAAAAAATAAAATATAATAGTATCTTAATGATAGGCCTACTAAAATAACACTGATTTATTTATATTGATGTGCACTTATCTGGTATTTCACACATTATTTAGATTTAAGAAGGACAGAAAATTATTACAATCAAATATAAATGGTTTGACAGCCCTAATTTTTTGACTTGTCATTGCTTGTGATTTTTTTTTTATCATAAGTTTGTTTAAAACTGCTTCAACCAAATCTCATTTACTCTACCAAAAAAAAAGCAGGAACCAAGATTAACTGTAAAAATCTTTGACTATGGTAGTGTTTGTGTCTGTTTGCCTTTATGCCGAGGGTGTAATGTGAGACAAAGGTTCTTAATTAAGCAGAAATGGCACTTGCTTTTCTGCTAATCAGCTTCTAATGTGTTTCAGACAAGCTAATGCAGCAATGGCTGGATGAGCTGCATTGCTATATCAGACCAAACAGCCTTTTCCACCCTCAGAGATGGAGTAAGCGGCCCTCTCCCCCGCGAGCACATCTGCACGGCCTGCCTGGCTCACCGTCTGTTTTGATCCATCTAAATGACTTCCTCTCAGTGCTCATATTGAATCACTGACTGGCTGGGCAAAGCCAAAGCTACAACAGTCTGTAATTCATCGACTGTCACGGACAGCACTCCCCTGTGTCTATATGAAATATTATTATCCTGCTGTAGCTATGTGCCGCAAGAAGCAAATCTCATTGCCGCTGCCATCGTGCTTTTAACCTGCTCCAGTCATGTGCATTTGTCACGAATATCCTGTAAACCATCTCCCACGCTTTATATTTTCATTGCTATTGTCAGATGCATGTCATTCTGACAATATGTGATGTGTACGTGTGAATTATGAAATGCTATTTACTGTACACATATCTTTATGAAGGCAAAAACATCTACATTTTTAGTGTTTTATCCCTCCTACCTTCTTAGGCAAGCTCCTTCGGTCACAGAGCACTTTAAACTTAATATAGCAAGCTAAAATGAGTCTCTTTGATATAAATAGGGTGAGTATCAGAAAATCTGCCTTTGAAAATATTATAGAGGTCAGCTGTTTCATTACATGAGCCTTATCAGTGTCTGAATGGAACAGATTGGGGAGTTTGAAGCATCTAATGGATTTTTTGGGGGTTCAAAGGATTATAAGTGATGGAAGGACATTACTTTATGTGGCTAAATAAGATAGGCACAGAGGAATGGTGTTTGCTCATTCAAGCTTTTCAGTCTTTATATTTGATAAATCCTCTTCGTTCAGGGGGTCAGAAATGTAACCTTTGCAATTAGCCCGGAAAATGTCTTAACTCAATCAGCTCGCCTCTTCCCTTCTGGATGAATCGAGAATATTTGTGATTAGGGTAAAACGCTTCACGCCCACTTTTGATTGGGCCCTTTCTGTTGTCTTGATGGAATGAGAGTGGTGTGTCATTCTTGCAATCACAATAATAACAGCTGTGCTTTAGTAAACAGATTGAAAATGTGTGATATAAATGTATGTTGTCTGTGTTTAGTCTCCCTGTTGATGATTGCATTTGAATTGCCTGAGGAAGACTCTCAGTAGTGGATACACTGTGATATCTCTCTGTTAAGCTTAAAATCCTTCCTTGCACTCCCCTCAATGCTATTGCCTTTACAAGACACTTTTGAGGTGACACCGCAGTGCTTTTGAAACGCCACGCATGTCCCACTCAGTCAGGACACGCCATCCATTCTCTCTGGTCTTCTGCTTTGTTGTTGCAGAAGTGTTGCCACTGAAAGTAAATTGATTTTAAAAGCTGCCTGTCTTCTATCTGTCCGAGCATGCTGCTTTCCCACTCTCTCCTTATTGCTGTCTCTTATTTCCTTCCTCTTTAGTCTCTATTTTTCCCTGTGCCTTTTCTGTTTTTGAGAATTTATGTTTTGGGTTACACATTGCTAACCTACAATAGGCTCACTTGAAAAAAAACTGCTCTACTCACATTCTTGTAAAACTCCAAAAATGTGGCAGAAATACTAATACTAGTGGCAGAAAAAACCAACAACTTTTATTCCTTTTCACACAAATTATGATTACATGGGCAGATTATCGAGCAACAAATGCTGTTGACCTCAAAAAACTTTTATCGTAGATCGTAATTTATAAAGTAATTTATTTTTCCATTTGCATCACATGATCAACTTCTATGTATAGCTTTTCTGATGTAGTAAACTTGTTCGGTCACTTAGCTGGTACAGAATCGCTCTTATGATGCAGAACACTCGGTCAGTCCTGTTAAAGGTACACTATGCAAGATTTTTTCACCACCAGGGGTCGCTAACCTCTTACAATAAGAAAGGCGTATATTAATGACGTATATTTCGTATTAAGCGAAATTATAGATCTTGTCGTCAGGCTGATGGATCTTTTATGGATGAGTGAATACATTGATGTTTTTAACATGACTGTAGCATGAAGCAGGGCACGATTGCTAGACGTATGCCAGCGCCACACGCAACACGAGTCTCGCGGATATAAAAGAATAAGGACATTTAATGGTAATTCTACCGAACTACACGCTGAATTACTCACACCGGTCAGTTTATTAGAGGAATTAAACTTGAGGTAACGCAACGCTGTTTCACTTGCTCTAACAGTTTCACTATCACACTAAACGGCATTTGTATGTGTTGAATGTTGTAAGTTAGGTTGTTTGTTGGCTGTATGAGACTAAGCTAGATTAACATTAGAGAAAAACATACAGATCATATTCTAACTTTTCATCATGTTGAACTATATAACATTGATTAGTTTTATATACATTGATTTGCTCACCTGTTTGCTCAAGTAACATGCAACACTCGCGTCTCTGTCAAGTCGAAGTTAGTCGCGGACGTTGAGCTCTCGGCATCTTGAAAGATGTTGATCTTCGTTTTAGTCCTCTTTTTGTCCCAAAGTCTACTTGCTATGGTCCATAATGTTTGAACAAAACCCTGCTTGGGACGCTCACGCTGTTGAGCACGCATAACGGGCATAACCGACCCAGTTGTCCATGTCTGTCGCGATGGTTACTGTTGCAGTACGAGGTCAAACCTGGCGGAAACCGGGGGTAACGCGGATATGACGTCATTTACTGGCGACTCCTCACCCCTGCTCACATGCCCCATTTCCTTGGTTAAAAATCGCAATTTTTTCGTGATTTACAAATAGTTGGAAACATTTGGGATATTGTAAGTAATCAACTAAGCAAAATATATAACATTGGCCTAGTGGTTTTTGGATATTTTACTGTAAAAATCCTGCATATTGTACCTTTAAGCAAGAGTTATGATAAAATACCTGAGAAACTTGTTGAAGCAAGCTAAAATGGCATGGTCGCCTCAGCAAGTGTGTTAACTCTGTTGTTAACACTGTTGGTAAGGTGTCAGGATTAAATGTAGGTGGTACGTTATTTTTAAACATGATAGAGCAACAACCTTTTAGCTCCACTAGCCGGACATTTCATTTCTGAACTGATATTGAAAATGAAATGAAGTTTTGTCAATTCAACCCTGACTGGTCATTTAGCAATGAGTTATTGTCACCTATAAAATGAAAATAACAAACTGATTCTTAAAAATATTTTCTTTTTACTTTACTTTTCCAGTGTGTCTCTTGATGCCGAACTTTCTCCTCGGCCAGTGCCTAGAACGAAAAAGAAGAAGAAGAAGTCACAGAGGAAGAGGAGGAGACACAGGTCAGGCCACAAAACAAATGGTCACATGTGATAATGACCTTCTCTTCTGACCAGTCTACAGCACTGGAAAAGACATGGATTTCAGATAGATAGAAAGATTTCATGCATTTAAAGGTGTCTGCTGTCAATATCCAACAACAGTGTTTAACTTTCACAAGTAAGAACAGTAGTGTGTCGTGAAGAAGAGCCATTCAAGAAATGTTCTAAGCTTGTTAAGCTTGAATGCATTTACATTTTTTATGTTATTTTAGATGTTATGTTTTCTTGCCATTTGAGTTTTCTGTTAATTTGGAAACACACTCTCTGAATTCCATTCTGTTTAAAAGCTTTTACTATCTTCAAAACACATATCTACAGTCCTTATCATTTTCATATTTTTCTAAAACGTTTGGGGTCATACATTTTTCACCAAGGCTGCATTTACTGTATTTGATCAACAATACAATAGAACATTAATATTAAGAAATATTATAACAATTTAATTGAATCTATTTCAATATATTTTAAATGGTATTTATCCTTTGAAGCTGAAGAAATAAAAATAAATAAAAAAAAACTTTAAAAAAATCTGAATTTTCAGCATTATAACTCTAGTGTCACATGGTCCTTCAGAAATGATTCTAATATGCTGATTTAGTGCTCAAAAAACATATATTATTATTATCAATGTTGAAAACATTTGTGCTGCTTAATATTTTTTTGTGAAAACTAATGTATGGTTTGTTTGTTTTTTGGATTCTTTGATGAATAGAAAGTTCAAAAGAACTGCATTTATTTGAAAATGAAAATCTTCTGTAATAATACCAACAACATAATAATGTATTTACTGTCACTTCTGATCAAATCAATGTATTGAATATAGTCAGTATATGCTGAAAAGGGGGGTTTTAATAACTTTACAAATAAGAAGAGGCATACAAGGACTTCAACTAAAATAATTCAAATTAATATGGAGCACAGATGGAATAATAATAATAAAAATTATTATTGTAGCTCCTTGAGTTTAAGAAAGGCGTGTTATAAATAAAATGCATTATTATTATTATTATTATTATTATTATTAAAAAACATATCCAGATTTCTTGTGAGTCATATACTAAATTATTATGAAAGCAAAATTCCAAGATTTTCAGAAATGGAGAAATATTCCTTTAACAGAAAATGCTGTACGTGTTTTAACTACATATGGCTTTATTTGATCTCCCAGATCTCCCTCCTGCAGTCCATCACCTGTGAGGAAGAAGAAAAAGAAGAGCTCAAAGAAAAGGAAGCGACATAGGTAGTGATTGATTTTCACATCAGGTCATGTTTAGAGGTTTGCTTTGAGTATACGCTTTTCTGATGTGGTGTGGTTGTTTTGTCACGACTGCTTTTAAAGTCATCTCTTCTCTGCCTCTAGGTCTGCCTCAAGGAAGGGAAGGCACAGGTACATTTATTTATTTCGTATTTAGCTTGTTTTTATACTCTTTCCTACAATAAAGGGCACAGTTCTTTTTTACACACTACACAAAATACCTGTTGATTATTGTTAAGTGCTTTTATGTAGTTTATGGCTCCCAGAAGATGATTTTATTGCTCAGTGGTTCCTCTCTTTTAGTCCAGGAGATTGAATGGAGAGCTCAGTTATAAATCGTTTAAGTATCCACTTTGTCTTATATGTTTCTCCTAAAATTCCTTAGGAGAGAAAAAAAAAGGTACAATTATTGTACCTCCATTTTCTCTCCATTTAATCACATTGTTGTCTAGCAGAAAAAGCAAGGAAATTTAACGTGTGAATTAACGGGTTTATTTTTATTTAAACCCGATCAATCATTTTTTCTGCTATTTTTACAGTGGATCGAGTCCCAGACGTAAAAGAAAGGAGGAGAAAAAACATAAAAAGAGGTTAGTGATTTCAAAATGTGCCTTATTTAAAACCCACCAGCTTACACTTCAGTTGAAAGTATTCAAGCACTGACAGATTATTGAGTTATATTCAAGTTCCCTCTGAGGTTTATCCTTTAGTGTCAAAGGCTTAACGCATTTTACAGTATAAAGCCCCTGCATGACCCTTCATGCACAAGAGTCATATTTTCTAGATTAGATTACAGTGTATTGACAGCCGCTATAGTGCACCTCTGCTCCTCTCAGAGAGTGCTGTTATTGGCTGCTTTTGTCCTGTGCTCTCTCAAACTGAAGGAGGGCTGGTGCAGTCTGAGATCAGCTCCTCACTGAAGCAGGCGAGCAGCCAGAGAGACAGAAACATGAACCAATTTCACGCCGCTAGCCTGCTACACACAGCCAGGGAAGACGTGCCTCGCTGGGCGTCTGATCTTCAAAACCTTCAGGTTTTGTAAAAATCAATGGTTCCCAAGTGGTTTTGCTTCACGACCCAAGACTCTAAATTCTTTGTCCTTTGTAAATGAATTGCACTTCAACAGAAACTGTTTACATAAGCTCATGTTTGTCTTATACTGATGCTGAAATAGAAGCTAAAAAAATTGGTTTATTCCAACTGATGTGATGCTCACCAAGACTGGCTTTTTATCAAAAATAAAGGAGAAATAGTAATATTGTGAAATAGTTAAAAAAATTTAAAACACAAAAAATAATATATGCATATAATTTAATTATCGAAAATCTCTACCCCTGAAAACAATTTTCCTTTTCACAAATTTATGTTAATGTCTCTCTCATTGAATATTTAGTTTTATTCAGAAATATGTCACATTGGATATGTCACTGATTGCTGTTTAAAGTTGACTTTTATGCATTTAGAAGATGTCCCAGGAGGATAAAGTCCTCAAAATATAAAATCGGTAATGTCACTACTGTAATACGTATCAAAAACAACACATAAATGGAATGTACTAGCAATAAAAGGTTTTAAACTACCTGTTTAAAATGTATAAATTTCAATCCATTAAACATGGTCTGCTCTTTTGTTCTGTATGGTTTGTTGGGCAGCTAAATTCAATTTGGAACTTTAATTGAATTCACTCTGCAAACTCATGTGAATCTGCACTCAACTGTCTCCATTTCAGACTCAATTAACACTGTTTTACATGTGCCACATTAAATTATTACACTTCAGAGACAGAGCTCTGACTCTTGCTGGGGTGTTATGTCATGTATTTTATTGTCTCATGGCTTCGTAATTACTCTTTCGCTTATACTGCTTTGCTTTTCTTTCTCTGTCACTGCAAAATTAAAATAAGAGCTGTAATGGCAGAGTAATGTACAGTAAATTCAAATCTTGATGTTGCTGTACCAGCACAAAATAGTATAAATACAAGGTGAGATAATTGATTTATTGCATGCATGTCTATTGGTTACCCTTCAGGTCAAAGAGCCATTCTCATCGACACCGGCGTCGTAAAGCTGAAATTAGGAGTTCCTCCTGCATGGAAAACAGGTATACTGTATGTGTGACCCTGAATGAACTGAATGAACTGTGAACTGAATAATTGGCCCATTTAAATGTATACTTCAGTGTAACTCCATGGTGGAGTCCAAAACCAAAAGCAGCTGCTATCTAATGATCTAAAAAAATATATAATAATTTCAGTTACACTTTTGAATACTGTTCCGTCATTAAAGGAGTAGTTTATTTTTTTTTTTTAAACTTTTGCTGATAATTTACTCACCCCCATGTCATCCAAGATGTCCATGTCATTCTTTCTTCAGTTGAAAAGAAATTAAGGTTTTTGAAATATAATATTTGTCCATATAATGGACTTCACTGGGCACCAAAAGGTTCAAGGTCCAAATGAGAGTTTCAGTGCAACTTCAAAGGGCTTTAAACGACACCAGACGATGAATAAGGGTCTTATCTAGCGAAACGATCGGTCATTTCAAAAATAAATAAAAAACTTTTAGAAACTTATAAAAAAGTTTTATAAGCACAAATGCTCTGTGATGCGTGTTCGTGACTCTACTGTTCGACTCCCCTGTTCAATGAATGAAATGACTTGAAAAAAGATTCGTTCATTATAATGAATGAGTTCGAACATGAACGAAATGACTCGAAAAAAGATTTGTTCATTTTAATGAATGAGTTGAAACATGAACGAAATGACTCGAAAAAAAAGATTAGTTCATTTTGATGAACAAGTTCGAACAGGAGATTGGAACGAGTTCAAACAGGAGAGTCACGAATGCACAAAAACCTTAATTTCCTTAATTCATGGACATCTTGGATGACATGGGGGTGAGGAAATTATCAGCAAGTTTTTTTTTTTTTAAGTGAACTACTCCTTTAATGGATAACTACACAGGAACAAATGATCCTCTCTTTAGAATCCAAATGCCCAGTAATTATTTTAGAATGATGTATAGCACAACTTGAGTTATAAAACCTTACAAAAACCTCAAACGCTTACAATGACTTCAGTCATTACTAGAGAGTTATCATGCTTTCACTTTAGCAGACTGTTATAATGAATAATTTCTTTCGAAGGATTTGATAATACTTGTGTCATTACTAGTAGGTTACCATGATCTTTAGTTTGGACACAATTATACATACATTGTGAATTACTCTCAGTTATTATGAACCTGTATAGTAGTTTTTTGTAGTCATCTGGGAGGTATGAACAAAGTTGTTATTGATTAGATAATCGTAGTGTTGTAGTCAAGACCACCTAACCCGAGACCAAGACAAGACCAAGACCAGAGTGTATCGAGACCGAGACAAGACCAAGAGTTTTAGGGGCCGAGACCAAGACAAGACCAAGACCAAGGGAGGGCAAAACCGAGTCAAGACCAAGATCAGCATCCCACACTACATGACACAATAAAATGTGAAACATGATCAAAAGAGTTTGATCTGAAATCTTCTCAGATTGATCTGAAAGATCCACATTCCCATAAAAACAGAGATATTTAACACTCAAAGCTGAAATAAACCATCTTTATTCAATACTCCTGGGTGACTTCCATCATTTAGTACAGAATGTAAAACAAGTCCTCACTTTTCTCCACCTTTTATTAACAATACATGAACATGAATAAATGGATGACAGGCAGCGGTGACAAAACATACATAATTAGCAATGACCAATGAGTCACATTATTGCTTGGATTTGAATCAGTATGTTTTACATACAATAAAAGCAAGGATACTGGGAAATTAGTGATATTTTCACAGTTATGATCTTGTCTGGTCTTGAAAAAAAATCCAGAGTCCTCAATGTCCGAGACCGAGACAAGAATGAGACCAAGACCATCAAAAAGTGGTCTCGAGACCATGATCGGTCTCGAGTACTACAACACTAGCTAATAGTGAACTAACTCATTCAACTGAGCATTATCACTTACTAATTCGTTAATCAAGAGTTTCATGCTAGTTAGCAGTTACTAATGTTAATTGCATTACTCATTTGTTCCTGTGTAGTTATTCATAAATGAGGGAACGGTATACTAAAGTGACCAAAAATTCAAGTAAGAGTAGAATAAAATAGAAGTTGAAAAATAAGTGTTTACCTGCAGGTAAATGTGCAACATTAGTCACACATTTGTGTCGATTGGATAGTTCTTATACAGAATGTTTTATAAAATTCCACAAAATAACATTTTGGCATTTTTGGGAGAATGTTGGGGGTCGAAAATATTCATGGCTTCATGCTGACCAGTCAGGTTTTTTATCTTATCAGTCAGCATCCAGTGCCACTGTGGCGATGACTGATAAAGGTAGAGGTGACACAGAGGAAACTCTTTTATCTGCCTCTCGCAGCTTATGTCCAACATTTGGCACATAGATCAATGGAATCGGGAAAGGGAATGAAATTTGAGATCTCGCCCCTGTGAACAGTTGCTCCTCCTTGGAGTGGGTTGAAGGGTGATGGGGTTGAGGTACTGTAGAGATGGAGCACTGTTGGGAATAGTGATGAAATTAAGTTTCAGGCTTAAATCTATTTTCTTTGAGGTCAGTGTCTGTGAAGATTGCCTGTAAAGTATATAAAAGTCAGTTATGTACAGATATTATGACAAATGATAGAATGTTGGAGATTCCTTGAGTAGTTTATGAGATGCAAAATAAGATAATATTTTGGGTCAAAGGTGTATTTTAAAAATATATTTTGAATTAGATTATCACATCAAAGTAATCACAGACAAAGACTTTCTCATGCATTAAATTGGCCTCAAATGCTCTCCCAGGTGTTACCACTCTGATTACTTCATTGGTCCTTCATACCAAAAAAAAAAAAAAAAAAAAAAACCCTCTCATTCATTCATCTGAGAATTTCTGGCTTTTTTGAGACTGGAGAAGACCAAGTTTCGGTTTCAAATTGAAATAATCTTAAGCTGGAGATGATTGGTTTTAAATCCCTAGCTGATCTCTCCATTATTTGGAATTTCTTAGGGATATTCAAAGGACGAAATCATTATAGAAGGCGAGCACAGTGAAGCTTTACATGCTTTCAGGAGCTGAATAGGCACAGAGAACCCACTCACACCACACAACAGGAACAATGGCCGTCAGTTCCCAGTTCTCATTCACTTTCCAAAGACCCATTACATATAATCTATGTCCTGAGCGGGTATAATTGGCATGTCCTTTCTTTGGAAAGCACTTTATTCCACCTTAAGCCTATGGAGATTAAAGGAACTAGACGATCGTCTAAGACAATGAAATATAAATCTTCTTGTTGTCAATTGTTCAAGTAAATGGACATTAGCTGGATATCTCTGCCACTGCTATTTCGGTAGAAATATAATATCGTTTCTTAAATGGATTCTTCAGACAAAGTGCTTCCATACTGTATTTTTACACTTTAATTAATGCTTCTCCCAGTGAATGTTAACCTGTGGAGGATTTTTTTCCCCACCTCACTGCCTAAATGCTGTAGAAATAATAAAATGACTATTATTCTTTTGCTGTTCCACATTATGATTTTATTGCTTCTGTTGTAAAGGTACTGTGAGCACCTTTATTAGCTAAAATGATTCAACTTACAGTACTTTGTATATTTAATATGAATATAAATATTTGAATTCCTCCTTGAGGTGAAGGGGCCTTTAACAACGTTTTTATGTGCTTCGTCTATGTAGATATGAAGATTGTGAAAAATCTGGTTTCCAAGACGGTGGCCATTCATCAGCTGTCCATGGAGGCGATGCATGCAGGTCGGCAATCAAGCTGACCAATAAAATCTCCTCTAAGTGCTGCTGCCACTTTTCTGAAAGCACCGTAAGTGTTTCTGATGGCTACCTGATGCGCTTACAATGCCAAACTCTTGCTCTGTTTAAGGCCCTCGTGAAGCCATTGATTTCTTTTTACTTAACGGATGTCAAGACCAAAAGCTATGTTGTTTTACATTTATCTGTTAATGCATTTGAAAGCCAGCTAGTGCAAGTCGTTTCCCCCATGGAGAAATCGTTATTTATGTGATTGTTTGCTTGCTTTTGTATAGGATTTGGATTGGCATAGCATTTTTAATTCTCACAGATGAAGGTTTTCTATAGTCGTTTTTGTTTTGCAAATTGGCTAATATTGCATTGCCATCTCATTTTTAACAGGAACAATAATCATCTTTGTTGCAATACTTTCGACTGAAGTTATTTTTGTGGTTAGATTTAACCAACATGTGATTTGCATATTGCACATATGCTTGACACACAATTTAAACTTAAGTTAATTAACTTTTTAATGAGGGTGGTTTTCAAGTGTTTTCCACTCTCGGTAATTACACTTTTACACAATTACACGCAACCTACTGCCACACTCTAAATGCATCCACTCCAACCAGAAATATCAAACATCATTCAATAAATAAAAAAAATTCAATATCACTAAAGAATGGCTCTGGGGAACCAGAGAATGCCTAGTCTGTATGATGTCATAAAAAATAAAAAAAACTAATATTATAAGTTAATAATTTACATAATCGTATGTAAAGGTAAAGGATCATCTTAATTTTTCTGAATGTTTTTAAATAAACTCTTACAACATAGTTTTTAAGCCTTTGAGGATAGTTTGTACACTACAGAGATGATTAAATTTGTGATTTCGATCACAAGATCACTCATTAAAGTAACGTGCATTACATTTTCTAAACTTAAATCATTGCTAATATTTTTTACTTGTGCCATCGTGTTTAAAGATTGTCCATAGTGTGAAGAAAATATTCACTTTTTTCCCCTTTTTTTTCCTAAACTGTAGACGTTGCCTAACATTTTTCAAAGAAAGTATAGTTTTTAAACACATTTTAATGCTCCGTTGACCCTGCTTGGTTGGATCCTTGGTTGGTTAGCTGTATAAGCAAAGCAAGCTTTTGCAATGGTGCGGTATGTTTCATATACTAAAGCTTGCAAAATAAAATACATAAACCTGCACATAATTGTTTCAGTCTTATACTTCACATCTAGATTATTACAAATAACCCCCAGGCTATACCAGAGTTTTGCAAATTCCACCATAAACCAGAGTTTGATTGCTTTTTGTGCCATTGTAGCAAACTAAAATTTCACTGAAACTTAGCAGCTTCTTTCCATTTTCTACAAAGGATACAGCTTCTATTTAGGATGTAGAGTCTACTTAGATTTACTCCATCAGTCCCACAATAGAAAAAGAGATCTAATTTCAAACCTACAGGTGAACAACAAAGGTAAAGAAAAAGGCTCATGCCGGTGTATGGCGGAGTGGAGTTGGATTTAAAGAAGAGAGGGTTATTGTCTTTTTCTTGCACTTTACCACTCTAATGATGCACTTATGTCACCCGCTCTTCCCTTTTTCTTACACCTTACCTACTTAAGGAGGAAGTCTTGATTGGTAAGTCGATGCTATCCGCAGATTTAGGGACTTACTGTAGGCCGCTGGTGGACTGTAAAATCTCTTCCGACAGGGGACTAAAACAGAAACAAGTTCTTTTTGTTTTTCTCAAGGATGTTAAATATTTAGAGTGATGGAGATATTTCTTTTGTCTGCAACCCTTTTCATATGATTACATATAGATATTTATATAGCCCATTCTGTGATGTCTGTTTAATGTTCTTTAAAGGAAAGCAACTTTCAAATTGGGGGATTTCTGTTTCCTTTTACTCTCTCTTTCTTCTGACTTAAAAGTAGCTGGAAGTTATTATTCATGTAGGTTTCTTTCTCTCTCTTATTTTGATCTGGATGTTTTCTTTAATTTGCCTTTTTCATTAGCATTGGTTCATTGTTTATTTTCTCTCTTCAGTCTTTTTTTTTCATTCGTTTCTTTTGTAAGAGTACTTGCTTTGTTCTTCTTTCTTTTCAAACCTCTCGCATGTGACAGATTTGCATGGCGGTTTTTTAATCTTTTAGTTTCTGTCCCAAAAAAAATCTTGATTCATTTCCTCTCTGTGCTCTGTAGGGACATATGTGCCTTTTAAGAGTACTCAGACTGCATCATGCAGGTAGCAGATTAATGATACGGCTTTATTTTTCTTTAGAAAAACAACAACTTTGCTTTGTCTGCTTGCAGGTCTCACCATCACGTCATGGGGTTAAGGGTTTAAACAAAATGATGATCGTCCAGGACTCAATATCCAATAAGGGCAAAGGTCAGGCAGATTACGATTCGGGAAATGACACGTCCTCTCCACTGTCAAGTAAAACTGGCATCACAAGGTCAAAAGTGACCAGAATTGGAAAGTTCTCTTGTCAAGATTTAACATGTCCTGAGAAGCTTAGACTTGCCGATGGGGACAATGCCTCGGATTCAGGCAACTCGCTAACCAGCTATGACTCTCTGGGTAAACCAGTACTCAGAGAAAATACCCTACACAGCTCCGTCTTCAACAAGTTTAAAGGGTAAGGCTGTTTTAAATGCATTAACTTAAAATATGTTGATGGTGTACTGTACATCAAATGTCTCACTAACATGCCATTAAACCATGTATCTTTCCAGTGAAAGAATTGTCAGTGTAGGTTCGGATTCCATTTCACTTTTAACCCTCTAGGCACCATGATTGAGTTTACACTGAATAAAATGGCCGATTTTGTCAAATTGGGTGTCAAATTTCGTTCGACTCCTCACTAGACGGCAAGCATGTCATACTTCATCCCTGACTCAAAAAAACGTCATGCTTCTATACAAAATCTTCGAGTTAGAGCTCATTGAATCAGTGCGATCAAAAGCAGAACTAGTGTGAGCCATTTTATCAGAGCCTCTCCGTGATCACGGCGGCATTATTGTGGTGGAGACTTTGTCTAATGCCACTGGGTCTGTTAGACGAGGTTGAAGTATTCGTAGAATATGGCAACGTGGAGAGTCGCAATGACAATGACGGTAGTCCGAGCTGTGCACACTCGGCGTGCGTGTGCGAGGCAGATCTGACCGTGCTCGAGCTGCTCGTATCATCTCACTCATGATCTGTGCCTTGCGGTAGCGAGTGAGCTTTTGAACTAAACAGATCTTGTCTACCTGTGTTTGTATGTCATATGAATAATATATGTGCCCCATACATGGAATCAGAGTGCCTACTGTATGTAGTAAATGGAAAATCTCTTCAGCAAAAGGCAAACCTCTACATGCAATTGGCTTGTTTCTACCATTTATTAGTAACAATTTACACAGTTTTCTTAATACTTATCTGAGCAGTCAGTATTGTGCAATATAGCATACAGAAGGTGAGGGACATTTTTGGGGGGAAAGAACTGCTGCATTTTATTATTTAAACATGTGACTTTTCATAAAAATTCTATAATCCAAGATTGCCGCCACTATATGACATCATAATATGCTAATTATATGGGAAAATGTAATCCCTATATAAATTTTGGGTCATCCTTAATATTTCTGGAATTTACAGAAAGTCTTTATCTTTTATCACTTTTAAGATATAGACTTTTGAAATTAAGATGTCAAAATCGTACATTTTAGGAAAAACCTCTGGCACCTAAAGGGTTAACATATGACATTTCATATAAAATAAAATAAAATCAAAACAAAACAACAGTTATATAGATTTGTGTTTGAATGTCTAGTTAACTATATTAATCCTGGTACAAGTGCAGACTCTCTCTCTCTCTGTAAATATCCAGATATACATTGTCCCTTACAAGGCCAAAAATAATTTCCCTCTTGTAATTGCAGTGAAGAAACAGGGAGGCACGCTGATTTGGAGAAGACGCAGCCTTTGGGTCTCGCCACCGATAGGAATCGGAGTCCGTCTTATGATAGATATCAGGATCGAACGAGGTCCCGCAGCAGAAGCATATCATCCCAAAGCAGATACTCAGGGCGCTATTCCAGAAGCCGATCCCTGTCCTCAGGGAGGAGGTGGGTCACACAGCTGCTTTTTATTATAGGAACTCTTATTTTAAGCTTTCACTTTAGTCATAAACTCATATGTTTGTATCTGACAATTCACTCGGCTCATTTACAGATCATATTCCCGTTCGTCCAGTTATTCGCTGGATTCACGGAGAGACAGTCTGTCTAGTGCGAGCAGTTGTCGCAGTCTAAATTACTCACGGTGCACACCAGACAGGTGATTTTTAGCTGAAAGGAGATGTGTGAATTTATCTAATATAATTGTTTGATAATGACTGTGGCATTGCTGAAATCTGTTTTTGAACACACACATGCTCTCATCTCTTTTATGTGTGGATGAAAAGGTTTCGAGAGCGGAAAAGAGACTGCAGTTCCTGCAAGAGTAGAAAGCACAGCAGGAGAAGGCCTTGCTCCCCTATGAGAAAGAGAAGAAGAGATTCCCCCAGCCACCTGGAAGCCCGTAGAATTACAAGGTCTGTTCTTGGAGAAATACTACAAACTGCATGTATCACAAACGGAAACAACTCACTTTGGAGATCCCACACCTTTCTGCACTGATTCTAGGAAGAAATCTCTAGAAATCTGCAGAATGAATTAAAACTGAGCAGATGGCACACTCTGATCTGTAGCTGAAAGCATTATCAAATTAGCAAAAAAACATTTACCACATTAACAAGCAAGTCATGGGAATGTCAAGCATTCCAATTCTGTGTTAAAATGCAGAGCTTTCTGCTGGCATCCTCAGGAAAAATAAAAATAGACACAGTCTAATGAATGTTGATGGCTGTTCAGGAGAATCAATTGTATAACATTTTTGTGTTCACACCCAATTTTCGCTGACGATGAGCCGAGTGAACATGCAAATTCATTCCCTGACCATTAGATGGCGCTTAATGTAAAGCAGAAATAGTCCTATTTTGTAGTTGCTGTCGCGTTTGTCATATAGCTCCTTATGTTCCGACACCAGCGAGAGCAGCAGCTCTACATTCATCTTGCCCTGCATCTTCCTCGTCTTATTTCTCCCCGGCAGTGTAGACGTTTCTTGGCGTATATCTTCTTCGCCAATCTGTGCTCAGCAAGATCATTTTGTGTTTGAGCGCCCCCAAGTTGTGTTTTACTGTAACTTCAGAAGCTCCAGACAAGTGAGCAAAAGCGCAAATCTCATTGGTCGGATAGTTTTTGACGCGGTGAGTCAAATAAAAAAAAAAGAAACCGAGGTGTTTTAAAAAAAAATTACGCTTTTACGCGTGACGTTTTTCGTGTCGGCGTGCACACTCACATTGGCACCCTTAGTTTAGTCATGATGCGTTAAACATCGGCGAATATCGCGCACGAAATTCGTTCCGGGGTGAACAGGCCTTAAAGGGATACTCCACTTTTTTTGGAAATAGGCTCATTTTACCACTCCCCCAGAGTTAAACAGTTGAGTTTTACTGTTTTCGAATCCATTCAGCCGATTTTCTGGTATTTAGAAGAATATCAGGAACCAGACAGTTTCTGGTCTCATTGACTTCCATAGTATATTTTTTTTCCTACTATGGTAGGCAATGAGACCAGAAACTGTCTGGTTCCTGATATTCCTCTAAATATCAGAAAATCGGCTGAATGGATTCGAAAACGGTAAAACTCAACTGTTTAACTCTGGGGGAGTTGTAAAATGAGCCTATTTCCAAAAAAAGTGGAGTATCCCTTTAAGAATAATTTCTGAATGATCATGTGATGCTGAAGACTCTTTGAAAGCTTTGCCATCACAGAAATAAATTACATTTTAAAATACAAGTATATTAAAATAGAAGACACTTAATTTATATTGTAATAAAATCAAATAAATGCAATAAATCCTTGAGAGATTGTTAGACATAAAAGACCCCTAACTTATCCTTTTATTATTTTTCTAATGTAAATTTGTTTATTACTAAGTCTTTGTTTATATTCTCTTTCTGCATGCGTTCCTGTCCTGCACAGTGCCAGAAAGAGGCCCATCCCTTACCATCGTCCCAGCCCCTCTGTCAGCAGCAGATCCTCCAGCCTCCTGTCCTGGCGCCTGTTTTCTCTCGGACGCAGTCGTTCGCGGAGTCGCAGTCGCAGTCACACTTCTTCTTCATACAGGAGCTACAGTCGCAGCTCATCGTGGAACTCTGTATATAGCAGACGCAGTCGGAGTCGGAGCAGAAGCTATGAGTCAATTGCGAGCTACAGCAGAGCCCGCCGCTAATTCACGGATGAACCAGATGCAGGAATGCTGAGCTACAGCATGAGCCCAGGACCGCATCTTATTGTAACTGGAAATGAAATGGAGCAGCACTGAGAACATGCTGTGCTTGGATGTGGAACACCAGGCAGTGACAGGATCATCTGTTCAGTGTCAGATAAGACTGAAGCTTCTATATTGTTGTGTACTAAACTGTGTGCTTTCATCCATCCCGCTCAAAGGAAAAGAAAAAACTTGTCTATCAATAACAAAGGCTGCTGCTGTTGTAGGAAGGACCTGAATGGAGGTTTCACTATGTGCACTGCAATATGTGACTTTCTGCTATAGCTGGTTTTGCTCATAGGTGTGAGGATATCGTTGTTCCTTTATCAAAAACAGCCGAAATAGATAAAAGGAAGTGTGCAGGGTCACTCGCGAGACGCTCATCACATGGACTGTAAAAGCTGATGTTTAAATCTATTGTATTTTTGTAGTGTTTTCCTTTTTATAGATGTCAAAAGTGCTTGAGGAGAAAGATTGCTTCCATAACAGCTTTTACCGAGATCAGCCGCTTCTGTGTTGCACACACCTTCACTTTGAAAAATGTGCCATCCGAATTAGCCCCACCGGCAAACACACCCCATCAGCCCAAATGCCAGCTTTATTTATCTTCTGTTGAACTGGAAAACAATTCAAATGTCATTGGCTGTGATGGAGATGATGATGATGGTGGACAATCAAAATGCAGCTGATGTGCTCCACTGGTAGGAACCATTTTGCAGGGTCCAGCTGTACATACTGTGTTAAAAAAAATTGTTTTACTGCACATTAATCTAGCAGACCTCAAGAGACAGAATGAAGATTGTTTTTATCCATCAAGTCAAGTCTACTTCTGAGTGAAGAAAGAAAGGTAAAAAAATCTTAAATTAAAGCACTGGTATACACATTATTATTATGTCATTTTTAACATAAGTCGTATTAAATTGTGTAATATTTTAAATTATTTATTCTTTTAATGCCTATTTGTATCTGTGATTTATTTCTGTTAGGTATGAAAATAGTCCGGTAGAAATATTTATTACTCAGATCACTTGAATTATTTATAACATAAAACCTTTGATATTCATATAGAACACTTTTTTTGTTTTGTTTACAGTATATCATCCATTTTTGACTGAATCCCATAGTTTAAATATTCAGTCCTGCATTCATTAAATCACAAACTTTACTGTAAATGACGATGATATTTATAAATACAGATGTTTTCTAAAGCATATTTATTGGATGCACAACAGAGACACTATGACAGACTGGGAGAAGTGAAGACGGCTGTTATAAGAAATCCATCAGAGTGGCTAGATCAAGGATTTTTTGAAAGGATCAAAGATATATATTTGGGGTGTGATATAGCTTGATGGGAACAGCGTGTAAAAATCATCACCTTCATCACAACAGGTAATGGCAGTTTCTTTGTTTCTGTGTCATAAAGTCTATTGGAGCGCTTGTTAAACGAAGGCATGGTGATCTCTATGCACTGTACATTATTAGCTGTCTGACTGTTGTGAATTCTGACACTTGTACAGAAAATTTGTTGTAGATGAAGGGGGAAAAACTTGAAGTGTATCAAATGTTTTATCTTCTTGAATTCATCTTGTTCTCTCGTCTCAAACCGTGAATGAGTTTAGTAAATGATTATGTAAATCTGTGGTGTAAATATGCAAACGTTTAGTGCGGCAATATTAGGCATGGGCTTTATTTATTGAGATGGAGTAGTGGTAATGACTGTTTACAAGGCTGGCTATCTAATTTACATTATTTGCATTCTTTCTAAAAAAAAAAATGTTGAAATGTTGCCATGAATTAAACCATTTTTTACAGAATCAGACATGTCAAAACATGCTACTGAGGGTGCCATTCATTGGCTTCTGTTACTGCAAAACACTATTGCAACATCCTGTAATACCAATTATTATTTTTGCACAAAATGTGCGGTAAAAAAGATATATAGCAATTGAGTATAAGTAAAAAACCTCAGTGCAGGGCATCAGGCTTGAAGATTATGCTAAGGACATTCCTCATATTACCCTATTCTACTATTGTATATAGAATGCTGTCTATGTGCACATGAGTATCAATGTCTCCCTTGCTCTTCAAATTAATGGCTAGTTCTCTGTGGTCTGAATCTGTAATGATATTCAAAGAGTTCTAAATAAATTATTCATAATTAATTCACCCAATAGCCTATTTTGTTTCTTTAAAATTGCACTCTCTTTAATCACGTTAAAATAATATTCTTGCATTCGTGATTTGCATTGTAAAAAAAGGGAGGACAGGGTACGATGGGTCTTGTCACACTTTCATTGGCTGAATCCGAAATTGCCCCCTGTACCCTCAAATAGGGCATTATTTGAAGGCACAGTTAATTGTAGTGATGTCCGAAACCATAGTGGACGTTATCGAGTGCACTTGTTCTATCCCGCTCAGCTGTTGTCTGAATTCGCTCACTCCTTCACGTGAACTGGTAGTGGACTAACGTACATAGGGTTTAGGGGGCGATTTCGGATTCAGTCCTGAATGTTTGGTTTTCAGTTTCAAGGACTGTTTCCTTTGTCCTTAGTTTCCCACCATCATTAGTTTCCATGGTTATTGATTAATTAGTTCACCCGTTTGCATTCAGATCATTATTGTGTGTATTTATACCCTTCAGTTCGTACTTTCATCATCTCCTCATCTTCCTCTTTGGACTCTATGTGTTAAAAGTCAGAGGGCAAGCTAAGCCACATAGTGCTTGATTTTTATTTGACCAAAATAAACTGGAAGTGCCCATTATTTTATCTTTTTGTGACTGAGAAGAGCCAACGCGTTCTCATCCTAGGGCGTCATATAGTGACACTTTTGAAATTTCGTCTAAATCTAACACACTTGGCACCCTTTAGCGTCAATATACCAAGCACAGAGATTTGTTCGGTTATGGGTAGGTTTAGTTCTGGGGTAGGTTTAGGGTTAGACCACTAGGAGGTTAGAACACCTTCTGGCACATAAATATCTGCATCTTATATTGACGCTAAAGGGTGCCATGTGCGTTGGATGTAGACGAAATGTCAAAAGCGTCAGTATATGACGCCTTGGGATGAGAACGGGCTGGAAGAGCACATAATGAAAGTGAAAAGTGTTTATTTTTTAACATGGACCACTTTTACATGCCCTATTTCTCGAAATGTTTTTGTCTAACATTATACAGTAAAATGTCAAAAACTTGTGTTGTATAAAAGGACAAGGCCTGCATCCAGTCCAAGCAAACAACTTGGTTGATTAGATTAGTAAACCATCTACTAGTGGCATATCTAAACAACTTTTAAAACGAGAGAGAGAGAGAGAGAGAGAGAAAACTAACTCAAAAACTTTCAAAACTTTTATATTTAAAAAAATATCAAATGATGTAGGCTACTTAATATATTCTATATAATAATGTATATTAGCTAAAAGAACATATGTCAGAGAAAGTAAAATAAATGTTGATATTTTATTACTTATAATACATTTTAAGTAGGCCATGGGCATGGCCAAAACATTTCAGCAGATAGAAGACATCCTAAAATATAACTGAGTGCATGTTTTTTCTCGCTCATCTTACGTAGCCTCCTTTCCCCCACATGAAGTACGCAAGGAGGACTCGTTTGAAGAAGGAAAAGGAGATAGGCCTACCGCATGCATGCCTATGTTGTATTTCGTCACATTTCGTGTTTAGAACGTTATTAGTGTTGTTTTATGAGTGTGTGACTCCTCTGACGGCCTTGAGGAGTGAGTAGTGTTCTATTATGAAGTGAATGAGTCATCTGTGGGAGGGTGAGATTGGACCAGTCGTTGTCCAGTGGAGCCAGTCACAGCCCGGGGTCTAAACTTGGATAGGGAGGGTCTTCAGTCAGCTGTCGTGTACCACCGAGCACTTTCTGGAGTTTATAGACCGGTAAATCACATATAAACCAGTGAAAGAGCACTTACATCGTCAGTAAACTTCTAGAACTCATACATGAGTACAGTAGTAGGTTTAGACTTAGGGGCGTAATCACTCGCCTGGAGAGTTTTTGCGCTTTTGTTGCCAAAAAAAAAAAACACGGAATTTGTTTTGCGCTCTTTTAAATAATTGATCCTTTTCGGTAGCAACAGCAACGCGACCTCCTGGACAGAAAAGTAGTCTAAACTCACTTTTCCCAAGTTTCACTATGGCAGAAGGGGATTACTACACTTTGGGCAACCGACAGAGGATTCCACGGGATCCGTTCCGGGAACAGTCACTCGCATCTCGCTTTATGGAAGATGACTTTGGACTGCCACCCTTTCCCGAAGAGTTATCGATGGAATGGCCCGGCTGGGCGAGACCTCGGCTGAGCACCCGCCTCGACGCGCCGTGGTCGGGCTCTTTGCGCACGGGCTTCCCGCGGACGAGCATGGGCTCGCCGCAGGGCTTCAGCTCCATGTACAGCGAGAGCCCTCGCCGATCCAGCGCGCCCCCGACCAACCCAGACGAGCCGTGGAAAGTGTGCGTGAACGTGCACAGCTTCAAACCCGAGGAGCTTAATGTCAAAACTAAAGACGGTTTTATAGAGGTGTCAGGTGAGAAAACACTAATGATCATTGAGTTATTATGAGAACACAATAATGAATCATGGAATAGAAGAATGGAATTCGCAATAATTTACATTTGTGCATTTACCAGACGCTTTTATCCTAAATAGAGGAGTTCGTCATTAGCATTTCAATTACTATGCAACTTTTTTTTTTTACTTACGCATTTTTGGTAGCTTTTTAGTCATTATTCATATCCCCTTTCTTACAAAATAAAAAATAACAAATATTTATGCCAAGTAGGCAATGTGGCCAATAGGCCTATGTATTTTGTGATTTCATAGCATTAGTTTATTTCTCAATTTTTTTGTATGTTTTTTGCGTCCCATTTTAATTGCATTAATATCCTATTTTATAAATGGCCTTTTGGACCCCATGTTCCATAAGTCTCTGCTGCTGTCTCTCCGCTGTAGCTTGAGAATGGAAGGCCTTTGGTTTGAGGATGACTTGCACATTATCGCTTGTAATCAGCCACCTGCTGAGATCCCATTAGGACCACTTACATTAAACACATCGGATTAGTCCCATACTTTTCTCTTTAATCACTAAAGTTAATTTGTAAAAACTGAAATCGTGTATCTATAAGGCCAGTTGCTGCCAGCTCCAGAAATACATTCTGTTGACTGTGACGGCAGGACAGAAGTTCAGAGTTCAGGAGAGAGCAAAGGCCTGGTGTGCAGGGATTAATATAAACACTGTGCTGGTATTCCAGCTGGGTCACTCAGTCACAGTGGGAGGAGGGTGGGGACAGCGAGACTTAACATCATATAACCTCATTCTAAAAATGTCACACAGAGATATCAAAGTGAACTACCCTACGCACTGTTTTACTAAAGGCCTTTTCACTGAACTCAGATTCATGGTGACCAGTTTTGGACCACCAAAATCAGCAAAACATTTAAGTTCAACGTTGCCCTGAAGTAAAGCATTGTCAAACAAATGCCACAGCCATGTTTGAATGTCTGTTAAATAGGGAAAGGCCATTGCACAGTATGTCAGTAGGTAAATCTCTATATACATGGATAGATTTTGCTCTCCGCTTGCGTTCCAATATTAAATGGTTGAGTTGTTGATTAGATGTTAAGCTGCATATTAGATGCGTTTGTGGTCAAAGTGTTTTCTAAAGAGCCGGTTATTGTAGATATGTAGGCCGCGCCGAGACACAATATGGCATGAATGGCATTTAGTGACCAACAGCTGCAGAGAATGAGGCCAAGAGGCTTTTAAACAGGCTTTCTTGGTTTGAAATACAAAATGATATAAAGTGTTGCCTTTGCATATCTAGAAAATCTGAGACTAATACGGGTCTAATTTTATGTCAGTGTGGCAAAGGTTACACTTCTGTGAGCAACCAGTGTGGGGATTCATTTCAAGAAACCTGTTGTTGTTGTGTTTAAAGCAACATCTTTTTCAAAATAAGTTCTTATTCACAAGTGTTCTATGGTCGTATCGATCTCTGTGTTAACAACCGCCTTTCTGTCTTTTCACCAGGGAAACACGAGGAAAAGCAAGACGAGGGAGGAATTGTTACCAAAAACTTCACAAAGAAAATTCAGTAAGTAGGATGATTGTATCAAAAGTTTCCGATCTGGAATCTTCTAGAATGATGAAGCAACTTCCAGAGGAATGCCACTCTGAGTTATTAAAGCAACACAAAGCATTGCTACTCCTCCACCCACCCCAGCCTCTCTGCTTTCTTCTTGCTCTTCAGAGAGTCAAATTGGATGGTAGAGGCAGAGGAAAATAATCAAAGTTAGAGATAAAATAGACAACATATCATGTGTCTCCGATGCCTGCAGTAATTAAGAGATATAGCCTAGTGATTTGTTTTTTTTTCCCTCTGTCAACATGCTGTTTCTCTGACAGAGACACACAGAAATAGACTCTAAGAAAGAAAGAGAGTTTAATTCTTGAACAAATCCTGCACTTTTTACACTATTGTTCAAAAATTTGGGGTCAGTAAAATCCAAGAACTTCTACTCAGCAAGGGAAAAAAATCGAACACAAAACAGTAAAGACGACGTTTATAATATTAGAAAATATGAATATAAAACCTTGAATCAAAGTTAAGCTATGATAATATTAAAAAAATGTTTCTTAAAGTGATAGTTCACTTTGAAATTAATTTTTGGTATGTTTTAGCTTACCTCAAGGGCATCCAAGATGTAGGTGTCTTTCTTTCCACAGTATTTTTAATTTTGATATTTTTAGGTCAAACTGTTCTTGTCTGTCAGTCATATAATGAAGGTTTATGGGGTCCACCCTGGGTTCTCCTCAAAGAGCATGTACAGAAGTCCAAATTAAACATGATTTAATGACTCGTAAATGTAAGTACACATTGATGGCCTAAGACACGAAACGAACTATCCCTTATCACTAGCACAATATCAGCATATAATGATTTCTGAAGGATCGTGGGACACGGAACAGTAATTAGATGCTGAAAAATCAGCGTTGCCATCACAGGAATAAATATATTCAAATAAAAAAATAAAATAAAATAATTTTAAATGATAATATTCACAATATAACTGCATTTTTACTGTAGTTATTTTCTTTTTGTTTTTACTGTATTTTTGATCAAATATATGCAGCTTTGAGAGGCTCCTTTCGAAAATATGAAGAAATCTCACGACCCGAAACTTTTGAATGAAAGATGATTAATAATGAAAGCTTCCACCCCAATGTTAACTGCTTAGCTAATTTAATGTTGACAGGCCATATTGGTTGTGTGAAATTCCAACAGTTGAACATTAGCATTATGCTAAGCTAAGCTAAAAACACATGCACACTTATAAAAGACACATTAAATTACATTGAGCTTTTTTTTATTAATAGCTTTCAGCTATTGAATGAAATCTCAATCTGTGGCATTTGCTCCTCAGTAGCAGCGCTGCGATGTCTGAGTCACAGTGCCGGATGGCTATAGCATTGCTGTGCTAATTGAATAGTGGCAGGCTACTGCAGTCGGCATGTAAGGTTTATATAAACTCAGCAGACGCTTGGCAACAAGTGTGAAACCTTCCAGCCTTATTTGGCCATGATGACTGACAAAGCTCAGGGACAACCTCTCTCTCACTCTCACTCTCTCTCTGTTGTGTTCTCTCACACTCGTTCTCAACATTCATAAAAATAAAACAGTACAGAAAACCTTAGAGAGCTAACTAACTAGGTAGAATTTTAAAGGATCGTAGGTGTCAATAACATTACATTGTTCTTCTAGCCAAATTCCTTGTGGAGGAAGCATTTGCAGATAGGGTTTGGGTTCAATAAGTATTAATAAAGAAATTAATACTTTTATTGAGCAAGGATTTATTAAATTGATCAAAAAGTGACAGTAAAGACATTGATAAATAGAAAGTTCAAAAGAACAGCATGTATTTTAAATAGAAATCTTTTGTAATGTTATAAAAGTAACCTGATCAAATATGTATCATAGTTTCCACAAACATATTTAACAACATAAGTGTTTTCAGTATTGATAATAACTAGACATTTTCACTGAGCAACAAATATCAGAATAATTTCAGAATGGCACTGAAGACTGAAATGATGACATAAATACATTGTAAATAGGCTATATTAAAATAGAAAACGGTTATTTACGATTCTAATAATATTTCACAATAATACTGTTTTTACTGTATTTTTGATCATATAAATTCAGCCTTGGTGAGCATAAGTATTAAAAAGAAAAATATTGCTGAGCCCTAACTTTTGAACAGTAGTGTATTAGGTATATGAGAAATTTTGTTTAAATTGTACTTCTTTACATTAAATATGTAGTTACATTTAAAATTAAGAAATGAATAGGTTCAATACACAGACAGGGTAATGGTAAAACAGAACAGGTGTAGAGCTAATGCATAACCAAGAAAACTAACTAGGGAACAGAACTCAATAAGGCTAAACAGACATAGAACTACACAATATTGCTGATTGTGAGAATTCATTTATATTTTTAAGTACAATTATTTTTTCAAGCATTATCCAAACACAGCATTCGTCTCTCGAATCTCTAAAGCAGCCCTAAAAGTCCCCCCACCCTTAGACTTCTGTCGTGGAAGACCAGCAAGAAGTAGCTTTGTATGATATCACCATCCATTCATGTTTAAAACAAGTTCCACCCTTTCTCTGTAGAGCAGATATGAATTTATGTTAATCCAGCCTTAAAGGCATCACATTCAAACAGACGGTGAGAACTCCTCATTAAAACGGCTGCAGTCAGTCTGCCTGCTGGATGATTAGACTAGTGTGTAGATGGAAATTTCTGGTGATAAACTTTGCATCAGGAGGCGATTTGTAATAATTGGCAACAGATTCTATTTCTGAGCCAGCACCTGGAGCAGGGCTCGCTCTCTCTCTCGCTCTCTCTCTCTTTCTCATTGCAAGTGATGGGAGGCAGAACATTAAAATGAAAACCACAAAATGCATTGAGAATTATCTTCTAGCCACAAGCTGCCACAGAGAAAATGAAGTTTGTTGAAAATTAAACCAAAATGAGAATATTCGGAGTATGGGGCACAGTGTTTGCAATTGACATGATGATTCCCATTCTGGGTTAATATTAACCTAAAGACTTGAGTGAGACCTCTTCTGGACAATTCTGTGTACATGTAGACGTTAATATTAAACTGACCGTTGTCAAGTTCTTAATGTAACATTTGGTTTCAAGCTTTGTTTCAGTGCAGGTGCAAGGCACAATCAATAATCTATCAATGTACAACCACATTTAAAGGGATAGTTCACCTAAAAATGAAAAGTACCTGAGGGTTAATTATTTACTCACCCTCAAGCCATCCTAGGTTTATACTACTTTTTTTTTTCTTTCAGACAAATACAATCAGAGTTAATTAAAAAACGTTTTGGCTCTTCAAGCTTTATAATGGCAGTGTATGGAGGACGAGATTTTGAAGCCCAAAAAAGTTCTCCACATGGCTCAGGGGGGTTATTAAGGCCTTCTGAAGTGAAAATAAGAAAAATATCCATTCTTAAAACTTCATAAACTAAAAGAGAAATGTCGGAAGATTTCGATATAAGAGAAATGGAGCTTGAGTTTGTTGCCAAGTCCTATTTGTTTGAACTGCAAGAGGAATCAAAGCTTACAATACTTCATTGCGTCAGGGGTTACTCTTTGGCATAAGTCGACATGCGCAGGCCGTCTGCCGGAAGCTAATATGGATATTTTTCTTACAAAAACCCATCGCTTTGCTTCAAAAGGCCTTTATTAAACCCCTGGAGTTGTATGGATTAGTTATGATGGATGGATGGATGGATGGATTCACTTTTTTAGGCTTCAAAATCCGGACCGCCATTCACTACCATCATAAAGCTCAGAAGAGCAATGATATTTTTAATGTAACTCTGATTGTGTTCGTCTGAAAGATGAAAGTCATACAGGATGGCTTGAGGTTGAGTAAATCAATTTTCATTTTTGGGTGAACTCTCCCTTTAAAAAATGGCTATTTCAATGTTTTTTTCTTCAAAAGCTGCTTTTGTGTGTCAGGGGGATACACTAATAAAAATAAGGGTTATTTATTGGCATGTATGGTTCCATAAAGAAACTTTCCAATCGCACAAAAGGTTATTTAGCGGAAACAAATGTTCTTTAGATTATTAAAATAAGACAAAATGGTTCACTGAAAGATTTTTTGGGGGGGATCATCAAATGGACATCGTTCGTTCTAAAATCTCACTCTGTTTTTCGCAGAATCCCATCCGATGTGGACCCAGCCACTGTGTTCGCCTCTCTGTCTCCGGAAGGTGTTCTCATCATTGAAGCCCGACAGACCCCTCCATACTACCTCTACAGCAACGAAATGCCCGCAGAACCCATGCAAGAACCTGAGGCCAGACCGCAGGAACCCAGCATGACTTCAACTCCAGTCTTTGATGTCAGGGAGTGAACTGGTGTTCGCATGCCAATGGTATTTGTTCCAAGCCAGTGTTAAAATCTAGATTCATCAGTTTCAAAAAAATACTTAAATCAAAAGTCATTAATCTGCTAGTGAATGGTTTGTAAATTAATGCTACTCTACATAGTGTATGGTTGGAACAAATGCCAGAAGCTTTCAGTTACTATATCAAGGAAGATAAACAAATGTGATTGAGCTACCGGTGCAGTGAGAAGGGAAAGGTGTGAAATGGGATTGTATGGCACATGTACTTTATCTGCATTCCTCTCAGTCCTAAAGTTCCCCTCAAATGTCAACAATTAAATGGATCATTCACCCAAAAATCATCTCTTATTCTCCTACGTTGTCCCAAACCTGTATGGCTTTCTTTCTTCTGTGGAAAACAAAAGTAGATGTGTTTCTCCAAACAATTTGAAATATGACCCAATCCAAATAAAAATAAAAAGTTCTTCAGAGCATTCTTTAAAATATTGAAATATTTAAGTCATACAGATTTGAAATGACATGAGGGTGAGTACTGAGTAAATAATCTCTTCATTTTCATTTGACCCATCCTTTTATCTAATTCGCTTGGTAAATTACGATTCTCTTAAAACCGTTGCTCCGCCATGCCGATCTCATCAAGTAAGACGACACCGAGAATCCGAAGTTGAGTTATAAATTCCATTCAGACACATTTTGGATGAGAAATCAAGCTTTGATGTTGAAATTGAATGTTTTATGGACTTTCTGTCCCTCATCTTGTTTTGGCCCTGTTTGAATAATCAGAATTTTTCTCACTTTGGACTATTTATATGAAGAAATGGGCCTGAATGCTAGAGCTCTTTCTCAAGCGCTGTTTATTGTGTCTTCTTTCTTTCTTTATTTGTGGGTGTTATTTTTTCTTTTTGTGTAGGGATGTATCCTACACACGTTTTTATAATAAATGATTTTACGAGAGCAAGCCTTTTATTACTCCTCTCTGCAAATCTTAATCAAGTTAACAATTGGGCTGGATTACACATGATACTATTTCTCAGCTTTACACCTGTTTGCTTATCCCACCTGTATAACCTTCGGGCGTTTTCGAGTAATAAATCGTGCATCATGCTCTCCTTCGGTCTCACAATCCTCTGTCCTCGATCACATCTGGGTGTTCGGGTGGCAGATTGGCTGTGTGTGTGCTTATGGGAACGACTCCTTGGGAGTTGTCTCTGCACGGTGGCGGTAATTGGGTGACAGATTAGTGTGGAGATTACTCCGAACGCTTTGGCTCACTTTCAATCACGTCCATGAGGATGTGGAGAGAAAATATTGAAGAAAACGGTCTTTAAATCGATCCGAGCTCTCTCGTCGTCTAATTCTCAGAGTCTGAGGTTAATGAGTCACGAATATTACCGTGCTCAAGAGGACCTGGCGTCATAACCACCCGAGTTAGATATTTACAAGAACTCAAGGGATGTAATGTGCAACCATTTTCACTGCATAAATGATTCATGAAAAATTCTCTAAGCATAACAGAAAGTCAACTAGGTGCCAATGTGACAGATTTCAGTCTATCACGTGTGTTTGAACATTTCTCAGCTTTCCCTGATTAATCATTCTTGTTATTGTAAGCAGAAGAAGCTTCACACAATCGTGCTCAGGTCTTTATTAGTGCTAAGAGGATGCATATTACAGTAAACTCAAAAACATCTATGGGAATTTAAGAAGCTAAGGCTGTATCTACATTCATCCTGATACATTTGGACACATTTTTCTTTCTTTGGCCTTCCGCTTACACTTAGACAGTGTCTTGCGAAAACAAGGCTTATTGAAGACGCTCTCCCAAAGTGATACAACACCTGACGCATGTTAAGTCACGTGACGCATTTTGTACCAATATACACTGCCTGGCCAAAATAAAAAAGTCACTGTTTGGATTCAAATAAGCAAATGCATTGTCAATACAAGAACTTGACCAAAATGTTTTGGTCAAGATCTTGTATTGACAATACAAGAGTCCGGCACTCTGTAAAGTCTCCTCCAGCACATCCCAAAGACTTTCAATGAATTTCAGGTCTGGATTCAAAGATGCCAATTCATGTGCAAATGATTCTTCAAGCTCCCTACCAACCACTGTTTCACAATCTGAGCCTGATGAATCTTGACATTGTCATCCTGGAATATGGCCACGATGCGTCTTCCTGCATGGTTGATTAGAGAACAGTTACCATATATAACATATAACATGCTAGAAACTGCAATAATCATCCAATCATAGACTCTTAAGCATTTGCCAACCATTTAAATCCAACCGGAGACTTGGCCGGGCAGTGTATATATCTATGCTTATACCGGTATGTGCCTGCTATGTGGAACTGTATTCACTTTTACAGTGTTACTTGGTACAACCTTCATATTACATTCCTGGAAAGTGTGACAGAAAATGTCATGCGGCAAAACACGAGGGCAATCGTGTTTTAGACCATGTAAAGGCGATTGAGTGCGACCTGGATGTGCCAATAATAGGTGAAATATTTTGAAATAGCGTGAAAACTTTGTCTGGTATCTTCTCAGTAAGCTTTTTACATATTATGCATGCACAGAAAGATCATTTTAGCATTTCTGGTGGTTCAATGCGGACAAAGAAAATGCCATTTTCAAATGCATCTGGATTAATGTAGACGTAGCCTAAGGAAAGAGCTGGGGATGTTGTTTTTCTGTAGCCTACATTTTCCCTACATCCATTTTCTTTTGGAGCTCCAGCTGAGGGTTGAACACCTCCTGGGTTTGCCCAAAGGTTGGTTGCTCATCTTCTGTCACGGCAGGGTCTGTGTATCCTTCTTCACCCTCCAGTTCCCGAGGCTGCGTGACCTCTGCCTGCTCTCCTTGCTCGGAGGTGATGGTGTCTGGGGTCTCTGGAGCCTGAGGCTTGTCTGCAGACTCAAGGACTTCTTCCGTGTCTCCCTCAACCGCCTCTTTGTCCTTCTCTATGGCATCACTGGGTTCTCCAACCTGCTCTTTTCCAGACTCAAAGGCTCCTGCTGCAGCTTCTGTGATGGACTGGGGTTGTGGCTCTCTAGATGGATCTACATCAGATACAGTCTGCTGGTCTCGTTCGCCCTCAGGACGCTCAGTTGAGACAGAGGGTTCGAGAGTTTCTCCCTCGGATGATTCCGGTTTAGCCTCGGCTTCAATGGCGTCTTGAGGCTCGTTGCCGTCTTGCTGTTTTCCTCCCACGGTTGGTGCCTCCATCTCAACCTGTGGCAAACGTGAAACAGTTTTCTAATCAAGTCAAGTGTTTAAATGCCAAATCAAGACCCTAAAATGCCAGGGTCACTGTACACAAAAATGATTAATTTTCTGGGTGGTGGGGAAAGGCCATACGTCCCTTGCGGGAAAATAGGAGCTTGCGTTTAATCTCTTTGTTGGTTATTTGAACAATTATGTGCCTGGTAATTGGAATTGCAGGGTGATTAATTTATAAACTGACTTCGACTTTAGCAGTTGATGTTTATGGGGCATTGTAGAATCGTATAACTCTAATTATTCCTGAAATCTTTTTTGAAGTAATGTAAAAAAAACATTTTGCTTTGCAGCCTGTTATGGCGGCACGGCTTAACGGTGCTGCAAATTGGCGTAAGTTGAATAAGACATGCAATGGGTGAACAATATCTGCCATTTTTAAAGCATGATGACCACATTCTCTGCAATAATATAATGCAACAATACAATTGAAATAAGTTTTGAGATGCTCTTTTCCCCTACTTTTCCCTGCTAATGCAAATAGCTGTCAGCTTTTTAACATTAGACTGGCTTAAATACAGCACCTAAGACACAGTTACTCTACCTATTATACGAGACCAATTAAGTACTGGAGAATGAATGGCTAGTATTCAACCTTGGATTTGCCTAGAAAAGTTTTCAGTAGTAACAACAATAGTGCCACTTCACTTTGAATGACATAAAGCACCACTTAAATATAAGGGTGACACATTTAATAACTTATAAACAAGTGCTATGCATGCCACCCAGAACACAGAGTGCCTAATTTTGAGCTTCAGTTCGTGAATAAGTTCGGACTGCATTATTAAAGATTTAACGGCTGTCAGAGCCAATCAATACCTGGATAGGGATAATGACATCAGCAGGGAGGGGAATGCTGGGTAATGGTACTTCCACTGTAAGGATCCCATCGGCGGACAGACGTGACTGGAGATTGTCAGCATCGATCCCACCAGGAAGTCTTAAGCAGTGGTGAGAAAAAATCTATAAATTTGCTTTTGTGTATACTGTATAGACAATTTGACACAATTGCACTGCAAAAAAATGATATGCTAAAACAAAATAAAACGGACATTGAGTTCATATTTTGTTTTAAAATAAATTAATACTTTTATTCAGCTATACTAATTTACATAAAATTGATCAAAAGTGACAGTAAATACATTTTATAATGTTACAAAAATTCTAATAAATGCTGTTCATTTTGAACTTTTTATTCATCAAAGAATCCAGAAAGAAATGAATCACGGTTGTCAAAAATATTAAGCAGCACAACTATTTCAGCATCGATAATAATAAGAAATGTTTCTTGAGCAGCAAATCAGCAGATTGATTTCTCCAGGATCATGTGACACTGAAAACTGGAGTAATGATGCATAAAATTCAGCTTAGCCATCCCATAAATAAAATATGTTTACAAGTATAGTATATTAAAATAGAAAAGCTATTTTGAAATGTAATAATATTTCACAATATTACTGTTTTTACTGTATATTTAATCTAATAAATGCAGCCTTGAGGATAAGACACACTCAAAAACTTTTTTTTTACAGTAGTTTAGTGTTCATGTAAACACTTACTTGTATTTTCTTGCAAAACATCTAGCAATGTAGCCGTGCTCGTCTTGTCTTTCTTCATGCTTTCCTTTGGATCAAATATATTAACACAAAATGATTAAGATTGATTACCTCAAATAAGAGCATAATATATTTTGTAAATCATATTAAATATATAGAAAATATTTATAAATGATAAAATTTACAATATCTCCACACTGTATAAAAAATTATCCTGTAAAAAACAGTAAACTACTGGCAGCTGTGGTTGTCAGCATCATACTGTGTGTTACTGTTTTTGAAATTAACAGCCAAATACCGTATTGTCAGCTACAGTATAAAACTTTAATTTAACAGCTATATGCTCTAACACAAAAACAGTAACACACCGTATAGTTACGGTATGATGCTGGCAACCACAGCTCCAGTAGTTTACCGTTTTTTTTTACAGGATTATTTTTTTTACAGTGCAGGCTTATTCTGTTTTGTAGACATTTAATTACATGTATCATTTGTTATCTGACATTGAATTCTTTTGGATATATATATTGAATTGTACACTTTTTCACCCATACCTGCAATTTCCAAAAATCCATCCTGTATTTTGACAGTAATCTCAGAGGGGGCAAAGTGATTGACATCCAAGCTAATTTTCCACTTGCAAATCTCACCAACCACTTCCGACACCCCTCCACTCATCTCCCTGTGCAGTTTAGAGATGTGCTGTCCTGAGGCCTGAGTAAAGGGAGCGAACACGGGTGTGCGCAAGTACCCGGGCCAAGACGATGTCCCCAGCCTCCTGAAGATGCCTTCGATCCAGCTGAGGTCTCGGGGGTCCAGTAACGGAGGCAAGCCGTAATGTTGGTTAAAGATTACACTGGGCCATCTGTAGCTCAGGGGATTCCAAGGTACCTCATGACAATATTGAGACCTGGATGGTGACTTGATAGCATCCGCCATAGTGAGAAAATTGAAAAATCTACAGTAAGGAATAACAATTTGTTTGGAAGGTCCCGCTACAGTACAATTAAAGATGCACTATCTACACAAAAAGAGATGCTGAAGAGAACGAATGCAAAGACAAATGTGGCCGGAGGACATTGCAGACACTGTTTATATAGCGTCCTTGTGTTTTTAGCACTTACTAAGCAGTAACCATGATGCTACCAGAAGAGAATGTAGGGATGAAGTGATGGCTAGGTAGTTCAATCTGCTACCGGAGGGGCTGAAGGGCTCTATGGGAGACGCTAATTAAGGATATTTATAGATCTAAAGGGGAAGCAACAAATAGCTGTTTGATGAGAACTAACAGTCCCAAAGTCATGCTTAGCCTCTCGCAGGCAAAGAGGTTTTTATTGAACTGATTGTTAATAGTGTTGTAGAAACTATTAAAGTGTTGAGGTGTCTATATAGAGGTTGTGAAGGTGTCTAAGTGCTTGTTAACTTTATTTCCTGGATTCAGAATGAACGAGTGCACAGGGGACCTGGCTTTAATGGGACCAGGGCAGCCAACTCTCTCTTATTAATCTCAGTGCAGAATGTAGAGGTACTGCTGACTGCACAATTATATTTGCTTTTCTGAATATTGGAGTCTGTCCCTGGAGTGCAATATAATTTATATGTAGATGGTTATTATTTTAAACCTACACAGTATGGCCTGAGCAATATCTGTAATCAGTGTTGGGAGTAACGCGTTACAACGCGTCTATGTATTTCAGAATGTTAACTTCAAATAATACTAATAGTAATTTAAAGATGTGATAGCATTGGATCTAGATGGTAAGGATAACACTGGGAGGTACAAGGGGTGTCACGATTCTGCAGGTTCGTTGATCTGAGTGTTGCTATTTCAGTTTCATGTCGCATATCGTTACAGCCAGTCGTTTTACAACGTTAAGTTTTACCTCTGTAGCTTATAGTCATTTTGGTAAAAGTAACTCAACAGTAATACAGGAGTAATGTAATGCATTACAATTCTGAGACAGTAATATTGTAAGGTAATTAATTACTGTTAAATAACAGTAACAGGTAACATATAATGTATTAGTTTGGAAGTAACTTGCACAACACTGTCTGTAATACACAGCTACGCTAATAATCCATCCAGCATGGCTTCAAATACAGTGGCCCTGACAGGTTCAGACTGTTTTTTTAAATTGTCTTGTTACCACTGGAGACTAAACGGACAACATTAGGCTGCTAGATGGCTGCTGCTTTTATATCTAAATATATCTAAACTACTGTTCAAAAGTTTGGGGTTGGTAAGATGTTTTTTAAAAAGCCTTTTATGCTAGCCAAGGCTGCATTTATTTGATCAAAAATACAGTAATATTGTAAAATAAAATAAACTATTTTTCCTTTTTAATATTTTTTAAAATTTATTTAGGCCTAAATACAAGTGTCAAAGCTGAATTTTCCGCATCAATACTCCAGACTTAAGTGTCACATGACATGATGACCCCTCAGATATCATTCTAATATGCTGATTTAGTGCTTTAATATGTTCGTTTATTTTTATTATCAATGTATCAACTGTACTGTTTAATATTTTGGTGGAAATACATAATCTTTTCAGGAATCTTTGATGAATCGAAAGGTTAAAAGTAGCTTACAGAATTTATTTGAAATGGAAATCTTCTGTAAAATTATAAATGTATTCCCTGTCACCTTTGACCAATTTAATGCATCATTGCTATACACATATTTTTTAAATGTAGCCTATAGGCTAATTCATTCTAATTTTGATGGACTGACAAATCTTCTTCTTTCAAACTAAAACAGTGAAAACGGCAGTTTAGAGCGTCTCTTTAGATTCTGGACCATGTGAGGTTGACAAACCGTTAAAATGTGAGATGTTTTGGGAGAGATTTCATCGCAGACAGGAACCGCACTGTCCCGTAAGGTCTACAGTTCAGTCAGAGGGAGCTGTGATGAGGATGTGTTGGAGTCATCACCTGAAACCAAAAACTCAGGTAGCCTACGATTTATATAAGACGTCACAAGCACACTAATAAGTCTGTGGAATGTGAAAAGTTAAAGGCACACAAATAACTTTCTTTTCTTTTTTAAAAAATAATAAGTGTTTATATTTTAGACCTGACGGGACTGTTTTCGCGGGAAATTGTAGAATTGCGCACATACGTCACTCGAGTGTCGTGTTGTATCTAAAAGGAAAAGTTCCGCTGAGAAAGATTGACATGCTGCACGCCAAATCTCGAACCCTGCTCGAACGTCGGAGAAACACCGACACCATTTAAAATAAAAAAGTAACGCCGACCAGAGGAGAGTCAGTATATTTTGCTGACAGGCAACAAGAACGTGACACAACTCATAATTGGCTTGGCTTGGCTTTTCGGAAATGGTGAGAACTTAGCTGAGGGGTTTGAAACGCGTTAAAAATTGATGCAAAAATGGCGTTTTTATTGCTCAACAGGCGAGTAATGTATTTATTGCACTGTATAAATTGCCAAATGTAGCCTAGCTGTGTAACAGAGTTTGTTGTAAAGTATCTATTTTGATAAGTCATGTCATTATGTTTGAGGTCCTTTCCGTCTTAAAGGGATAGTTCACTTTGAAATTCATTTTTGATATGTTTTAGCTTATCTCAAGGGCATCCTAGATGTATGTTTGTTTCCACGGCATTTTCAAGTTTGATATGTTGAGGTCAAACCGTTCTTTTCTGTCAGTCATGTAATGGAGGTTTATGGGGTGTACTCTGGGTTCACCTCAAAGAGCATGCACAGAGAAGTCCGAAATGATTTAATGACTTGTAAATGTACACATTGATGGCCTAAGACATGAAACGAGCGTTTTTTGTGCGAAAACTAACAGTATTTATATCGTTTTTTTGTTTTTTTTACCTCTTGTTGTAATCACAGTCCAAGAACTCTGAGGGCGAGGGCGGAGGGAGATTTCAGAAGTGGTATCCTTCACTGTGAAGATCTAAACATATTTATATATACAGGAAATTGCAATGGAGACGATTTCGATATATCAACAGACAACGTTGATTTTTTATTTTTTTTCGGGAACTGCGCAAGAGATCACTTCCAGCGCTTTCCGGCGCTTGCGCAGAACGAAGTGCCCGTGCCTTCAGATCACTTGGACGTGGCTGTGGTTACAACAAGAGGTAAAAACAATATAAATACTGTTCGTTTTCTCGCACAAACCGCTCGTTTCGTGTCTTAGGCCATCAATGTGTACTTACATTTACGAGTCATTAAATCATGTTTAATTTGGACTTTTCTGTGCATGCTCTTTGAGGTGAACCAAGGGTGGACCCCATAAACCTCCATTATATGACTGACAGACAAGAACGGTTTGACCTAAACATATCAAAATTGAAAATACTGTGGAAATAAAGACACCTACATCTTGCTAAAACATATCAAAAATTAATTTCAAAGTGAACTATCCCTTTAAGTCTTAACTGGTTATTAGCTAGCTAGTAGCTAGTGAATGTTGTTTAATTAGCAGCATACATCTGCACAGTCATGTAGAGCCGAATCACAACCAAAACAATGTTCTTATGCATGCAGTTTGTTTTTTGCAGGTTATAAAACGTAATTGTTTTCTAAGCATATTGATCAGCATGATGCAGCACACTTTTAGAAGCCCTCCACCAGGGGCGGAGTGGGACCAAAAAATCTACCGGGAAATTTCGTAGACCACCGGCCCTCGTCCCTGGCACGATTAGGCTTAGCCAATAGCATTTGCAGTTTTGCTGATTTAAAGGGAAATTTGTTGTACTAGTATGCTGGAGTAAAGTTCATAAATGCGGTCGTTCTTTCCCATAGTACTTTCTAAAAGTAGTTGGGTGGACTCTGTGCCTCTAGGGGGGTTCGGGGGCATGCTCCCCCGCAAGAAAATTTTGGACATTTTAAGGTTATAATGCATCAATCTCATGCTCTCTGACAGATCGAAATTAAGACCCATGAACTGCTCGTTGAACAAAGAAAAAACATTAATTTGTACCAGGACAATAAAGAGGGCTCAAATATTTTTTTAGTTATGAGAGTCTCAGTTTGCATTACATTATCAATGGTGTTTTAGGATGCCAAACAATTATTATAATAATGTAATAATGATTTATAATTATTCCTATGACGTACTGTAAAATCCATTTATAGCCTATAAATGTGTAAATGAAAATGAGTATTTCAAAAGTATATTTTAACCTACATTACACTATAATATAGGAAAATTAAAATACTTTTGTCCTAATTTCTTCACTTGCAAGAAATAAACCCTTGAGCTTTTATTTAGGAGAAAACACCAGATGATCGCGAGAGCAAAGTAATCACGCAGAACAAACTGGATGCTATTCTAATGTCAGTTATTATAATGGCGCAACGCCATATGGTTTAAATTTTAGTTCGTTGGCAAAATATAACATAAAATATAAAATTAGGTTTTACATTTTAAATCTTTACATATCTGTGTTGGGAAAAGGGAGAAGAGAGAGTTCGGCAAGGCGGATTCGAACTGGCGTTCAGCGCATCAAAAAGCTGCATTCAAACACTTCACGCCCTACGATCTACGCCACTGAAGCTGTTTTATGACTGGTGTCGTTTTGCTATAAAGACAGGCATTTAGTGCAAATATATGCTCCGTTATAAAAAATGTAAAAAAAAAATTGTTTTCTTCCCTTAGCTTGGGCCATGGCGAACTTCCAATAAATACATTTTATCAGACCTTGCGGCCTCGTAACACTACCGGCCCACCGGGAAAACTCCCGACTCTCCCGATTGCCACTCCGCTACTGCCCTCCACTTTCCCAGCTCCACCTGTAAAGATCTGCTATGGGTAATTCATACTATAGTGTACCGCAGCAGCATGTTTTACTTGCTCACAGCATTGGCAATAGCAATTCCCGCACTTGCTCTGCAGCAGCAGCGAAGCAGATTTATTCTGCCAAGACAAATCATATCAACATTGTAATATTCATTACCATGCCGAACACTCCCAAGAGTTGTCATGACAGTTTAACCAGTTCAACAGTTTTCTTTTTTCTTTCAGTTTCATCTTTTTAAAACAATCTTTACTACCTTTCTTTTAAACTCTGATGTGATTAGTGTGGACTTTTTCTCCCATGGCACACAGTCCAAGCTTCATACGAGCATACACATCTGTCTCGATCCTCAGCCTAAAGTACTCCAATTACTCTTAATGGACATGGAAACCGAGCAAATTAATGACACTGACAGCATCACCTGCGATGAGGGCATCACCCTTTCACACTTCCCTTCTCTTGTGTTGAGACAGACTGTTCCATAAAGTCTCGTGGCTATAAAGAGTGAAGAATGCTCTTTAGTCTTGCTGAGGACTTCAGCACGGCTCTTCGTTTCTCTCGGTGGCTTTACATAACCGACAAAGACATAATGAATGAGACACAGAGCCTGTCATTTGAAACACAATTACTCCTGTGAAGTGGGCCAGAGCAGTGCCATCTCTTCCTATAACTACATGCCTTAAATAATAAAGTAAAACGTGCTGATTTGCAGAGAGCCTAATGCATCATGGGAATGCACAATGTCGAATGAGTGCCAGAGCTGTGAGCTTTGCATTTATTATCATTATGTGTTTAAGCATGTACAGGCAGGTTCCTTTTGAGTGTTCTTAATATTAAGGGATGTGAATTGTTATTAGATAGCATGGCAACAGTAATGCAAGGAATGCCGTGATCCGATTATAAGTAGCTCTGCTGCTGTCGTGATATTTGCAACATGCGTTTTCAAACAACCCCAGCAGTGCTCTTAAACCATTCTTCCAGATGGTCTGTTTAACATTCTAGTTGCGTAATCTGTAGTTGTACGCATTCCTTTTGCGATGAAACAGAGTAGCGCAAGGCTTCTCCAAGGATAGACTAAATATGTCCTTTGTGCTCCTGTGGTGTGCTTTTATTTGCCACCTGTGTGCTCATTTCTCAAAAGCAATGAAGCAAACATATGCACTTTGTATTTGCTTATGGAGTATTTTGGATGTATTCTTAAATTGCTTCAAACTATAGTTTGGCAGTGTACCAGCTAATCATAATTAAAAGTAATTCAGCTACAGTAAAGCTACCCTTTTGTAAAAGAAGCTAAGGAGACGGTATCATTATAAATGTTGTGTATGTGGCATAAAACAATAAGGATCTAAATTAATGTACCAGGATTTAACTGATGCACTAAATACAGCTAAAGCAACAAAAAATATTTACAAACTATACTTAATTAAAAAGCCCATCCATCTGCATCTGAAATGGCACATGGGTGTATTTTTGGGTGTATTGACACAAAAAGTTGAATGCAGCTCTTTGGTGGCATGCATGTTTTATTATAGAAATATGAATTGTTTAATAAAAATCGAAATTATGTTTAAATGTGAAACTTAAACCACCAGTAGGTGGCAGCACTTACTTATCTTTGAAATTGAGTAGTCGATATTTTCAGTAACGAAACAAGTGACTGACTGCGTCTGAAACAAGTGGGCAGCACAAGCAAGGGGGTAATCCATCAGCCGGATGTCTCGCGGGAGCCGCCAGTGTAGCAGAACTTCACCTGCTTTTAGCATTCCATTGACTCCCATTCATTTTGGTGTCACTTTGACAGCGAATAACTTTACATCTGAGGCGTCCAAATACTCCATTTATCCATTATGTATTTCTAAAGAAATACGACAATGTATAAAAGGCTCAATTACTTTGTACTTACTTACTTTATCTTACGTTACGGCCCCGTAAAAGTCGTTTTTGTAAAAATAGGCTAACGATTGTCTTCACGATTGCTAAAAAGTATGTTCTGTATATAGTATGAATGTGTCAGTAACGTTGCTTCACTTACATTTACGTTTTTTAATTTAGCAGACACTTCCATTCACAAATTCTCTCCTGTGGCCTCATGGGACAGATGTCCAAAACTGTCCATTGTATGCGCACTTCAGAATCTCACCTGAAGAAGTTGGTCATCCAGGTTCTCTTTTATGAATACTGTGAATTCGGGCATCCTTTTTTTTTTTTTTTTTTTTTGTCACACTCTGTTTTGCTCAGAGATGTGCATCAGTTCTGCATTGGAACTATTTTCGTCGGCAAAATGGAGCAAAAATACCAATATTGTGTCTAAAATGTTAATCACTTATATTAACTTATTGGGTTTAAACTATTGTATAAAATCAATATCAAATTTGGAATCATGCTGATATTTGGGGAAAAACGCTCTATTGCTTATATGATATTGCATAACTTTATCATAATTTATAAATATAAAAAAAAACAAGACCTCATGAAGTGGGATTTTTTTGCCCCCACATCTCAAATCATTTTTTTAATTTTAGTGGAATCCCCAAGTACCATTAATTTCCGACCCTTAATTGTGATAATCAAATTTTATTTCACAGACTGCAAAGAAACAACAGCAACTCATCTTAACCTGTCACCTTGTAAACATAAATACACACAAAACATAACATCTCTGAAGTGTAGTCTGTCACACTCAACTTTTTTTTTAATTCCTCTGATGACTAAAGGCAAGCAAACTTAACCATTGTGCAGTGTAGATACATCTCGGGAGTAGCATTTTTAATTCTCATTCAGAATTAAAACTATTCGCGAGCTTCATTCGGGTCACTTGTGGCATGGTCAAATATGTTATCATCAGTCACATGCAAATGCGACTGAAATGGTCGCTAGGGTTGGGTATCGTTTGAATTTGAACGATTCTGATTCCGATTCCGATTCCTTGTTTCGTTTCCGGTTCCTAACGATTCGCGATTGCGATTCTTTTAAGAGGCGGGGTCAAAAAAGTTTAGCTAACCTTGCTAACCAATGGTCTTTCTGAAGGAAATAATCCTTTCTGAAGGAAATACTCCTTTTGTCACAAATTTTGCATTTTGCCGAGATTTCGTTATTTTTAGAAAAGTGAAGCCACACTTTGGACCACCGACGTAAGCTACTCATGTTCGACTCACACGGTTATGCCAACACTTCCGGTAGACGCTTCTTCTTTGGTGTTGTTCAGTGGTTTCTTCTTCCGCTCGGCGAACTGTGAATATCGAAACTAGGAATCGAAATTTTAACTTTTGAACGATTCCGGGAAAAATGAAAAGTTAGTCCCGGTTCCAATCGATACTCGATTCTCGATACCCAACCCTAATGGTCGCACTATAGAGCCAGTGTTTATTTGATCAATGAATCGTTCAAAATTGTACAAAATAATTAAACTGAATCAAAATGATTAACAATAGAGAATGAACATGACCTTGTGTGTAATACTTTCTAAAAGAGATATCAATGTAGGTCTACAACAATAGAGCTGCAATAGTGTCTCAGCTGGAGACCTGGTCCTATTGTCGTGGTCCATAATCCGTCCTTGATCCGTCGTCTCTTTTAGAAATTAAGTCCGTAAAACCTGCGACCCACCTTTGTTGGATATTAAACATCAAATGGGCCTATTTTCTGATTAGTTATGGTTGTGCAGCCCTCTGGCTTTCAGGGTGGACAGGCAAATTATTTGTTGTTGGACTTCAACTTCATAAATAGTCTCATTGGTTAAAAATCCCGCTCCACAAAGCTATAGATTAAACATCAAATGTATTCTATATGGCATTAAGTGTCAACATAATCCATAAACCATCCTTGATTATGGTCATATTGAACATCTTATGTTGTTTTTAGTAACCAAGCATGGTCGATGTGAAGTTGATTTGCTCTTTAAGGTAACAGTTCCTTAAACTGTGTTTAAATGCGGCTCATATGTTGTGGCTTTAGGCCCAGTAGGGGTAGAACAGTGTGCTGTCAGTGGAGGCAGAGCTCTCTGGCATGTCTGGCTCAGACACAAACAGATTTACTGCAAATGAGATCATCTATCAGCAGGGGAGAGGGAGGATGTGGACAAGGGCATGGAGGACATGAGTGAGGGAGCGGCCGGAGCAGAGACCTCTGTCTCCTTTTCTACCTCTATTCCAGAATTAAGAGATAATATAGATAGTATTTGATGGGGTAAAAGACTGAGAAGGGGTGCACCATATTCACTTGGGTCCAAAATTCAGAAAAAAAACAATCTAGGATTAAAACCCAGCTAATAGGGGATTCGACTAAATTCTGTCTAGGTTCTCTCAAAGTTATGAAAAATCATTCTCCCTGTAACATTAATCGTTCATTCATAGTTAGTTAAATGTTTGTTCAAAGTTATGTGCTATTTTCTCTTAACATGTTAGCACAAAAACATTATTTTTTTTCTGAAATGTTTTGTTAGTTAAGTCACCTTTATTTATATAGCACTCAATGATGCAAACAGTTATTAAACTCTGCTGTAAAGCAGCTCTGAAAAGACAATAGTAGACATAATTTAGTTGAAATCAGTTCAAAAACTGTGTTAAGTTCAATTGAGCTATAAAGCAGCTCTGCAGGACACACTCATTTCATCATCAAGCTAAGTTGAGTTCCCTTTCAAAAGCTACAATCGATGCTGCGCTGCTTATCGCATTGGGAACGTCTTTAATCGTGACCTGCTGTGACTATCACGTGTAACACGTCAATAGAATTGACCCGGAGGTAACATAGCCTCGGTCGATGACGTCATTAGTGCGCACCCGTGACGCAAGGCTATAAATAGATGTGGGATTTTAAAAACTAGGGCTGTAAAACGATTAATCGCGATTAATCGCATCCAAAAATAAAAGTTTGTGTTTACATAATATGTGTGTGTAGTGTATAATTATTTTGTATATGTAAATACACACATATGCATGTATATATTTAAGAAAAATGTGTTATTAATATATTAAAAATATTTATATTTATGTATAATATTAATTATGTATAAAGTATATACATGCAAACATTTCTTAAATGTATACATCGCGATTAATCGTTTCACAGCCCTAGTTTTTGAAATATTTAATGAACTGGAAGTTATAGAATAGTGTTTTCATATCTAATAGGAATGTGTGTATAGTATTTTTTAATCAATAAAACATTGACATGAATAAAGAAAAATATTTAAAGTTTCTAATATTCTGAAATTCTTATGCTTATAATTTGTGATAAACGATTTTGTATAAATTGGAAAATTGCAAAACAGCCCCACTGCATGTGTCATGGGCAAACTGTCTATCTCTGAGATAATTGGCTTAGAACTGCATTATTACTAAGTGAGGAAAAACTTTAAGCACTTTGACTTTAATGAACTTTCTTGTGTCGTAATGTCACATCGTTGGATTTTGTGGGCTGCATTTTAATTCTCATTCCTATGCAACTGTGCTGGTAGTGAAATCATCCTGAAATGACTTGTGTTTTTCTACTAGACACCAAAGGAGGAGATCTCTGAAGCTGATGACAATCTCGTTCACGAAACCCCTCCACATTCTTCACAGGAAAACGAGGTGTGAGTCTTTATCAGCAATTCTCTCACACATACCCAATGATTATATCTCCACACACCGTTCTCTTTCTGCAGCTGAGTGAAAAATATGAGACGGCACACGGCATAGGTGCAAACAAAAGTGTTAATTAAAATCAGCTGATTTGCTGTGCGAATATAGGTGCAAGTTCGATTGTGGAATGTCACAATCTGAGAATTGTGCCCATCCAGTCAGATTACATTCACTTCAAGGGGTCATATTAGTGCACTTGCCCTCATTGTAGGGTTGCGTTCATGAGCTGCTGCTTAAGTATTTGAATTGATGAATGAACAAGGATAACCAAAGACAGTTTTGGCTCACAAAACTGCATACAATGATTATGGGTTTGCTTTAAACATTATATATTATTATATATTGAACAGTATATATAGTTGTGGTCAGTGTTGTGCAAGTTACTTCCAAACTGTAATACATTAGGTATTACTTGTTACTGTTATTTAAAAGTAATTCATTACCTTACAATATTACTGTCCCAGAATTGTAATGCGTTACATTACTCATGTATTACTTTTGAGTTACTTTCACCAAAATAACTAAGTAGAACTTAACTTTTGGGCTGTAACGATATGCAATATGAAACCGAAATCGCGATTCGCCACATCCACGAACCTACAGAATCGCGACACACCTCTTCCAACTCCAGCGTTATTCTCCTTACCGTCCAGATCCAATGCTGCCTTATCTTTAAATTAGGCTATTAGTATTATTTGAAGTTAACATTATAAAATACGTAGACCTACACCACAAAACTATTTGAGGATAAATTATTTAAAATTGGGGAAGTCCAGCATTATGGACATGACATTTGCAGTCAAAACTTGAAATAAAAATTCTCAGAAAATTCATGTATTGAAATGTATATAGGCTACTTCCTTAAAGGACTCCAGACATTAGACAAATATCAGTCTATGTTTTATTTTTATTATTAGGAAAAAGACACACATTCATGCGTAACAAAAAAATAGGAGGTAAAATATATTTTTTGTAATTCTGTTAATTACACTGCGCAAATCGGATGAGGAAGGGTTGGCTCTCCAGTCTCCATAGAACTTAAAATATTCATTTTATTTCAGTTTTCGTGTTCGTTTATGAGGAAAAAACAATGTTACAGACGCGACCGCTCTGAACTGGCACTAAAAGACTGCTTTAAAACTTTCACATAGTCTGTTGCCTTTAATAAGTAAAAGCAGACAATACACTGTAATACAACTGTAATACAAGCCTCACTGTACATGTAACGAGTAAAATATTACTGAAAATTGATTAGTAATGCCTTACACTACTGCGTTACAGCAAAAAGTAATATGTTACTGTAATGTATTACTTTTGTAATGCGTTACTCCCAACACTGGTTGTGGTCTGAATTTTTTGCACCCTTGGTAAAGGTCCTTATTGACATTAAAAAATCTTACAGACCCCAACTTTTTTTTTTGTAGTAGACCAGTGATAATAGTCTAAAAAATGACATAACAATCCCTATGTTGAGACCTGTTTATACATCTATAAACAATTTACCAATTTATGAACAATCTCCTTGTTTTTCCCTCCCTAGAATTGTCCTAAAGTATCCTTGGTTACAGAAAAGAGAGGACACGGTTCTTCGAAAACATTTCTGCCGCACAAGGTTAGGATTCCTACTGTGCACTAATTATTGTTTATGTCTGCATTAATATGCTAGTGCAGTTTAGCTCTAAAAAGCAACATTCACAGATGCTCTAGTTAAGCACTGCCAAATCACTTGATTGCTTACTGTATATAATAAATAATGTATGTTTTCATAAAATATGATTATGCCTTTTTAGATCTGTTTAATGACTTCACAAATCCCAAAATAGCATACAGCATTTCTTATATAATAAGTGTATTCAAAGAACAATATTTCTTTTTCCTTTTAGGCAATAATGGTGGAAATGTACAATAGCTTATAGAGAAATCCTAATATGATCAGTTTAAAAAAGAAAACTCCTGCACAAAAGAACACAAAAGTCTATAGATAAAGAAATTTTGAAGTCATAATGCCAGTACTGACATTTTAGTATAATGTTTGAGTTAATTTATCTGACGACACCAGCACATCTGTGATTGATTTAAAATGTACATGCATAACCAGTAATTTCAATGCTAAACTGTGTTCCTGCAGCAAGACCTATTATTATCCGTTCTTTTTCTCCACCCCACTCTCAGCATCTTATGCGTCTTGCCCAGCGGCTATGGTGGTTTCAAACCTGGCAGACATCACCAATGGCATTTTGTTTGTGGGGGAATCTAACACAGTCTCACCACAGGAAAGAGATCTGTGTGTGTCTCTCTCACTCTCTTCCTTTTTCTGTGCGTCACAAAATGGTTGACATTTATGACAGACACGACCGTAGCCAAGCTTGTTGAAATATTCATACTCATTCTCATGAAGACTGGCATTTTTGAAAGGAAAAATGCAATTATTGTGGCTGTATTCAGTGAAACAGTCTCAAGAGGATGAGGTCACCGCTGTTGTGTTTATCAAAGGCTTTTGTTTAATATTGCTTTAGTTATTTCGTTATTTTTTACTTTTGGCCTTGATGATATGTGTAGCTGATGTACTAATTTTGAAAAAATAAATAAATAAATAAATAAAGTTCTCATTGTTAATAGAGATCTGCAAAAAAAAAAATGTATTTTTTGTCGGCCAACCCAGAAGTTAGCATCACCCTGGTTTCCTCAACCCTATGTAAATTTTGTACATTTTTGGGGGGCTTTTGTATTATTGTTAGCCTGGATGCCAGCCCGAACTCCGTCCACAACATTTTTTGGTCGGGAAGTTCGGTCTGGACTCGATCCATTGATGAGTAATTATGATCAGTCAAAAAATGATCGGGCCAATCAAATTGCCAGGGCGGGCTTTATACGATGATGGACAGATGGCCTGCAGGGACGTAATCATCACGTTATCAAAGAGCGCTAAACTGGTTTCCCTCAAAAATGACTGCAGCTGGATAATTGAGATGTATAGATCCCGCTGTCGCGGCTGTTGTAAAATAAATCGACAGCGCATTAATTTTGCCTGCTCTGACGGTCGCTAAGAAGATGGGACGTAATGAAAAGCCTGTGGTCGTTTCTCCTTTGGTCGCACTCATGGAGGACCAAGTAAAAGAAGCAACACTCGTTATTTTACTTCTAAAATAAGTAAATTATGCAAAGTATTTGACTTACTGCGTTGCTCTGCCATTGGTTGAGTTTTTTTTTTCCCTGGTTCGGTTAAGACACGCCTCATAATCAAAGCCCTATGGAGCAGTTTCAGACTCGCATTCTTTCTAGAATATGAGTATGACGAAGTCAGGCTAGATTATTGTGTGGTGAACTGGGGTGGGATTAAATAAGTTTTCTTCTTCCCACTCCCTTTCAGGTAGAATTCGATTTGTTTTGTTTGTTGTTGTTTTTGTTGTTTTTTTTTTGTTTGTTTTTTGTTGTTGTTTTTTTGTTTGTTTCTTGTTTCTTTTTGCACTGTATGACTTAACAAACATTTTGTCTGCCTTGTACTTTTGTGCCATTGCCTGAAATAAATAATAATAAAAAAAAAAATAAAAATTATTGTAGACAAAAAGCTCGGAATCCAACAAAAGTTTATGATTCTTACACGGTTTGTTCATCAAGATAATCTGCACAAAATGCAAAAACTCAGTCAAAAAAACACTGACTTTTGGACGATGGAACTGTAAGTGCTAAAAACTATTTCTGGGTAATTGGCCTACAAAAATATGTATTTTGTACAAATATAACATTTAAAAGAACACTAGATGAACATCCAACTAAAACTTTTTTCCACAAACTATGTATTTTAGTTTTTTATTTTAGAACATTATTAAAGCAAGTTATGTTGACGTTACTGGTAGAATGTTTGTTCATAACTTTGAGAGATTCATGCCAGAATGTTATCTTAAATACATATATCATTTTTCCTCTCCACACCCACTAAACCAAACACGGCTGTTTTGGCAGGTGGTGTGAAGCTGCGGCAACATCCTCTTCAGAATGGAAACCCAACCGGATGAAAAGGCACACTACCCCTGTCTACAGATCATTGATCTCAACACCACCTGAACTACTACCACGGTAAAACACTCGCAACCCTTTCTTATACTCTCTATTCTGTTAGGGGGTTTCTTCTTTACAAAAGTTTACAGAAATTCATTTCTCTAAATGGCCAACGCATTCTCATCCCAGGGTGTCATATATGTGACGCTTTTGAAATTGCGTCTAAATTTGACGCACATGGCACCCTTTCGCCTCAATATAACATGCTTCGGTTATGAGTAGGTTTAGGGTTAGACAACTAGGAGGCGCCTTCTGGCCCATATATACCTGCGTTTCATATTGATGCTAACGCCGGCTTCACACTGGCAGTTGAAATCAGCTCCGATGCGGCTGCGAAACGACCGGAAGTCATTCATTTCCTATGGAGATTCGCAGACCGCATGCGAATGGGTCCGAAACGGGTTCGACCGAGTGCGGTGCGAAGAAAATCGTGTCCGTTGGTCATACGGATGCGTTCAAAAATTTGAACTCGTGCGAAAAGCTACAGACGGTTCCTATCCGACAATTCCAGCGGAAGTTGTCCGTTGCTATGGTACTGATAAACAAACCTGAATTATTAACTTTTAATAAAATAAATAATAATTTTATAACGATAAGTTGTCATGTCATTTTTTATTTTAATGACTTTCTAACGTTTATAAGGGCAGTTAATACAATTAAATTGAAGGTAGACATTGAACTATTGACCACTATATCACATTTTTTAGCCGACCTGACATGTCAACGTCCTCAGCAACTTTCCTTACGCAGCATAACCCACCCACCCACATCAGAGAGATCATATAGAACTGACAGAATTTTAATCTCTCCGCCATTTTTGTTCTACTCGCGTCCGACACTTTTCACTGTGTAGTACGACGTCCGTTGGGAACGTATTGCGTATTACGGAGCTGTTTTAAACTGCCAGTGTGAAGGCGGCGTGAAGGGTGCCATGTGCGTCGGATGTAGACGCAATTTAAAAAGCGTCACCTATATGAGACCAGGCTGAAATGGCAGAAACAAACATGCGATTAGTCACTTTAAATGCCAGTCAGGTGGTCTCCTCCAGAATAAGTGGATTGAGTACGACTTTATGCCATAATTCAACAATCTGGCTACATGTGATTAAAGCATTACTGATAACTTCGTAGTCTCACATTGCCACGCATATGATTGGAATACTAACACATCACGTCAGATAAACTCCCTGACATTAAAATTTTGTACACACAAACATATAAATGCATTAAACAAGAAGGGAAACAGGAAAATATTACCTTTCTCGGCTGGAATGAGCCACAGCAATCTGAAAAGAGTTTTCACCGTGAAGGTCCCAGCTTTCAGAAAAACAAAATTCATTCAACCATAAGTATCACCCAGCAGGATAGAGCGATTACCCTCTGACTAGAAGGATCTAATGCAACAAAATGAAAGGAAAAAATAAACATGGCTCATTTACACTCTCTTGATGGAATATAATGTCATGCTAGAATCAAAGTACATCTTCGATGCATCATTACTCCTTTGATAAGCAATTTGCATTTTCTAGACTGCACTTGAAAAACATTTTTGGTTTTGATGGGGACATGGTGTTTTTATTCTGTAGTTACCTCAAGCTGCCTGTGAGAGGTGTAGGTTACCGGATCTGAAGGCTGTCCATATCATTCATACACACTGCATGATTTACCAAGCAGGTGCTTTGCTAGGACATGCCATTTGATTTTATACTTTATCAAGTTTGACACTGATATCATCTTTAATTTATCTAAAAGGGTCCAGACAATTTTTGGAGGGGCCCTGTATATACACGCACACACTTCTTGTCCGTATCTGCTGGATGAAATCTACAGCAATGATATAGGCCTACCATATGGAAGTGTTATTTTGTAAGGTTATTTTGAAAGTATGGACACATACCATTCAAAAAGTTGGGGTCAAATTACATTTTACAGTTATTTTAAATTGTAATAATATTTCCAAAAAAAAATTGTGTCTGTTTTTGAGGCTTGAGAAATGTTACTGACCCTAAACCCTTGACCGATAATCTTTATAAAGAATTTACTAGTTAAAATGAAACTGATTTTACACCACATGTATGCATTTAAAATGTATTAATAGCTGTTTATTAATTTATGACCCCTGTATAGAGGGAATGCATTGACGTCACTTTCCCGCCGGAACATCCCCCCTCAGGCTGACTGAGTGGCAAAAGATCTGCTGCGTGACTGGATTTAATCGGGGAAACTGCGAAAATGCAAATAAAACGAACAATTTTATCAATTTAAACTAAATGTTGGACTCAATATAGTGTTTCTTACAACTTACTAAAGATCCAGCGATCCATGGATATTGACATGCAGCCAGGAACCGTGTTGCCTGACATTTATGTTTGCCTGATTTCGACACCGGGGAAATAAAAGCAATATAGACCTAAACATAAAGCAAATTTGCCTGTGAACGCTTTATATAAATACAATATAGGTAGGTCTAAATCCGGGTGATCACTTATATCAGTGTTATACAGTGGGTATAGAAAAGAATCACCCCCTATAAAATAATCAGATTTTGTTGCTTTACAGCCTTAAATGAAAACGAACAAAAAACATGTTTTGTTTTATTCAGCTGTATTTACCTCTTATAACATCCAAGTTAAAGATATAATACCAACTTGTCAGAAAAAAAAAAGTCAAATTAATAAACAGAATCACTGAGTTGGAAAAAGAATCACCCCCCTCCTAAAAATGACTTGTAAACCCAACCAGGTGTAGTTAATAACCTCCTCAATAGCAAACAAAGCCAATTGACTTTCAACTGTGATCAGCTGTGGTCATTTTGATTAGCTCAGCATGAAACAAGCTTTTCCTGTAGCATTTCAGTCCTTGTTAATGCAACTGAAGAAAACAATCAAGTATGGGTGGCAAGGCATTGTCAAAAGATCTCCGGGATAAAGTTGTTTATAGGCACAAGTCAGGAGATGGATACAAAAAAATTTCTAAGGCTTTATCAGTGCCTAGAAGCACAGTGAAGTCTATTATTAAGAAGTGGAAGGTATTTGGTACAACACAGACCCTCCCTGGGTCAGGACGTCGCTCCAAACTGGATGAAAGAGCCAGGAGGAAACTGGTCAGAGAGGCTACCAAAAGGCCTACAGCAACTCTGAAGCAGTTGCAGGAATTCATGACAAAGAGTGGTCATTATGTGCATGTGACAACAATATCACAAATTCTCCACAAATGTGGCTTGTATGGGAGGGTTGCAAGAAAAAAGCCACTCCTCAAGAAAGGCCACATGCAGTCACGACTGAGCTTTGCCAAAACGCACCTTGAAGATTCTAAGGACATGTGGAAAAAGGTCTTATGGTCAGATGAAACTAAAATTGAATTGTTTGGCCTCAACGCCAAACGATATGTCTGGCGAAAATCCAATACAGCTCACCATCCAAATAACACCATAAAGCATGGAGGTGGTAATATCATGTTATGGGGTTGTTTCTCTGCAGCAGGGACTGGAGCACTGGTCAAGATGGAAGGAAAAATGGATGGGGCAAAATACTGTCAAATTCTTGAGGAAAATCTGCTGCTCTCTGCCAGAAAGTTGTCCATGGGAAGAAGATTTGTATTCCGACATGACAATGACCCGAAGCACACAGCAAAACGGACCACACAGTGGTTAAAGGAGAAAAAGGTGAATGTCCTTGCATGGCCTAGTCAGAGCCCAGACTTAAACCCAATTGAAAATCTGTGGAATGACTTGAAGACAGCGGTCCACAAACGGTCACCATCAAATTTAACTGAACTTGAGCAGTTCTGCAAAGAAGAGTGGTCAAATATTGCAACGTCTAGATGTGCAAAGTTAGTAGAGACATATACCAACAGATTAAAGGCTGTAATTAAAGCAAAAGGTGGTTCAACAAAATACTGAAACAAGGGGGTAAAACTTTTTTTCCAACTCAGTGATTGTTGTTTTATTTTTTTATAATTTTTTTTTGACATGTTGGTGTTTTTTCTTTCACTTGGATGTTATAAGTCATACTAAGTAAATACAGATGAATGAAACAAAAACTGTGTCTGTCTTCATTTCAGGATGTAAAGCAAGAAAATGTGATTATTTTACAGGGGGGTGATTCTTTTCTATACCCACTGTATATAGCCTATATATATCATCATATCGTCCAGCCCTAAAACTTTATAGTTTTTTTTTTTTGGTCAGTGTTTATTAAAAAACATCCAATAATGCAGAATATGCAATGATAAATATTTAATTGATGAGTTGTTTATATATATATATATATATATATATATATAACAATACAAAATATATGGGTATGGTTTTACACCTAAATTCAGCATATTGACACAAAATGATAACTGCAAATCCACCTTTCGCTGACTGGAGTCCAGTTGTTTCTGTGAACTGCAGTGATCCATTTGCTCCTCTTTCCATAGCAGTCTGTAAATATATACCTCCGTTTTTTTTTTTTTTTTTTTTTCAAATCTAGTTGTACAGTCAATCGTAAAGCTCTTTCCCACTTCGGCACTCCGGCCGACGGTGACGTCATGCGCATTCCCTCTATTCATGCATCTGCAAATGTGGCTAAGTGCCTGGTCATCTATGAATATGAAAGATATAGCAATCTTGTTCAATCACCCTTGTGTCTTTTAAGCCTGATATTTAACCCACATATCACATTGTGGCTAACTAAACCTTACAGGTTGTGTGATGTCAAGAAGCTTGTTGTCTGCTAACAGTGAGTAGGTGGATGTCATTGAACAGAGGCCCAATGAATGACATCCAGTGAGTAGGTGGATGTAATTCATCAGAGGCCTGATTACACGTCTTAACCTTGAAGTTTCAACAGAAAGCAGAGAGCAAAGCGATGCCTCTACTTCATGTTGAAAAGAAAGTGAGAGGAATTAATTTATACAGGTACAATGAGAAACGGCCTTGAAATGTTAGCTTGTAACAAATGAGCCAAAGCACAGTCAGGGTATCTCTCTCTCTCTCTCTCTCTCTCTCTCTCTCTCTCTCTCTCTCTCTCTCTCTCTCTCTCTCTCTCTCTCCCTCTCTCTCTCCCTCTCTCTCCCTCTCCCCTTCTATATATACATACATATACATATCAGATTTTTTTCTTTCAACTTTAAAAAGGAGATTCAACACCGAATCAATTAACAGTGGATTTGATTCTCACCGTTTCCACATGCCATCAAAGTGTCTATAGGTGTGTTCACACAGAAGATAGATAGATAGATAGATAGATAGATAGATAGATAGATAGATAGATAGATAGATAGATAGATAGATAGATAGATAGATGGATAGATGGATAGATGGATGGATAGATATTCTTTATACAAATGATTGCTGGATGAAAGATTTGCTAGACAGCCTCAGTCTGCTGCTGTTTTTCTGTCAAGAGGGCTTTCAAGATATACACAGCTTTTGATTCTGTGTCTGGTGTTATTTGTACATTTGTGTTTAAAAAATATGAAAAGAAATCTCTCAGAAAGGCTCTCTGTGGAATAGGGTGTTTTAGGTCTTATGTTGTACATCAACTTGTAAACTAAGCAATTATACAGGATTTCAAAGCTGCTGACACAAGGTTACATGCTGTGCCCTGGCTGCAGTATAATTTCATTTGCATACTGAGGGTGGTTTTTATTGTTTTTTTGTTTTACTTTATAACAATGTTTTGCAGGACATATATTATTAAAAAAAATAATTTTCTATTATTCCTAGCAAGTGTATCATCAGTGGTGCTGTTTGAATTGGCTGCTGGGGGCACTGACTCTGGAACGCTCTGAAAGATCTGCACCTGTTATTTCCTGTTGTTCCTGCTGTTATTTCCAGGTGAGTGAGAAAAAATAATACAGTTTGGGTTCTGGGACAAAGTCATTCTTTAAGCTCCTCCATTCTTTAAGATCCTCCATGACCATCAGTGTATGTAGACTACCGTTTGCGGTCAGTTTTGTGAAATAGTATCACAACTCGTATATACAGGGTGCGATTTGCCGGGGGGGATGCGTGGGATTTCCCCCTTTCTGGTCAGTGTGTCCCTGCCTCTGCTTAATTATTTTTATCCCTGGTGGGGATAAATTTATCCCCCCCTCAAAGTGATCAGTGCTACTAAACTAGTGGTGAAACGGATCAGAAAACGTATCACGGATCCGTGGTTTGATTAAAGTCAATTTTATTTTTAAATGCGCTACTTTGGCTGACTCTCATATAGCTGTCTGCTCTGCACGAGTCTGCAGACTTGCTCAATGTCCCGCCCACGGCGCTATCTGATTGGTTACACCTCACGCCTATCAACACTTGCGAGACGGTTGCATGTCCGCACTCCGCACTGGGCTGTGGAGCTGTGTGTAGAAAGGAAGGCAACATTCAGAATAAACATCACAATCTGATTATCTGTTTCTATGATGACAAGCAGAGCTAGTGTCCCAGTCACTGAGAATGGCCGAAGTTATACACACGGTGTTTCACTCACTCTTGAACATCTGGCGCGAGTGATTTCAATGTTAAATCGATGTAAAGACGCGTTTGCGCGCGTCTAGAGGTTCTGCAGCGCGAATGAGGCATCTGTCTTTTCTATCATTTTGCTGTATCTCAGCATCGCGATGTAACATTAACATTATTACTTTCACCTAACAGCAGCAGTTTAAACTGTTTCTATGATGGTTTAACTTTGCAATCAATCCGTGGTTCAGGAGAGGCTGATATAAATTTGCCTACCCTATTAATCTATTGATTTAATTATTGCATGTTTTTCGTTGCATGATCACAGTTCAAATGTGTGGGAAGCTATTAGAGTAAAAATATTGCGTTAGGATACTTCATGTGTTAATACGATTTTTTTTTTCCTGCAAATGCAGTGATGAAGTTCATGTTCTCATGATTTATTTTTTATGAATTTTTTTTTTCAAAACATCCCCCCCTCTGTTTTTTTCACAAATCGCACCATGCGTATATATATATATATATATATATATATATATATATGTATCGACCATTTTGCAAGATGTAAACAAAACTGGTCCAAAAGCACTTCCTGTTTCAGTTTTTTAACACTACATAAAAGCTAGAATAAAATACAACCAAAAGAACATATAAAACTGAATCAAAAAGTTAAACAAACATCTTTAAGATTTTTTTCTTTACATGTGAAATAAAGAAAACAGTTACAAACTGAAACAGGAAGTGTTTCTGGACCAGTGTTGTTTATATCTTGCAAAATGGTCTATACATATATATATATATATATATATATATATATATATATATATATATTAGGGGTGTAACGATACCCTCATGTCACGATTTGATACATATCACGATACTGAACTCACAATACAATTTTTATTGTGACACTCCAAGACATCTGGTAAAAGGTTAACACAATTTGCTAAATTTGATATTACATTGTGGGTTTAAATGAATGGCTTTAGACTCGGTGCTTGTAACTCAAGGACAATGGTGACACCAGAATAACAATATTCATGATTCTGAAGCTGAAAATATTGAGTTATTGTAGATGAATATGCTTGCACACTTTCACTGACTAGATATATTTAAAATAATGTCAGACACTTTTTACTGGTAACATAAGACATATGGCATTATCAGGACCCACAAATATTCCCACATTGCGTTGTTGTATATTATAATCAACATTATATATAGTAGTTTAATGTAGTACTGATACTAAAACTCTGAAAACTTGATTTTTTTTTCTCACACCAATTTTTATTATTATTATTTTTTTTATTATTTTATTTTATTATATTTTTATATTTTATTACATATTGTCACTATCCACGATACGTTTTGTTGCATTTTTGTATTGCGATATATTGTGGCACGATATGATATATTTACACCCCTAATATATATATATATATATATATATATATATATATAATTTCTGTGATGGCAAAGCTGACTGTTCAGCATCATTACTCCAGTTTTCAGTGTCACATGATTCTTCACAAATCATTCTGATATGCTGATGTGGTGCTCAATTTCCTATTTTTGTCAGTTTGAAAACATGAGATTTCAGGACTCTAAAGAAATGCCTTTTAATATAATAATAATAAAAAAATGTGGTCCATATGAACTTTTTTTCCCTGTGAAATCTACAGATTTTTATAAAGTAAATGTAAAAAATATTTTTTATTGTAATAAGCGAAAGCAAGAGAAGGAAGAAAGAGGAGAGGATCGCAACACGGGAACAGAAACAACGCAAACAGCCTATCATAACTTGCAACAACTGACAAAACAACATGAGAAGCACAAGTGCTATATATACAAGATAACGAGATGACAAGACACAGACAATCAAGTGGAAAACAATATGAAAAACTTAAAAAGGACTATATAGATGGCAGACAGAAGCAGAACATGTACCAGGAAGCATAACAAAATTTTGAAAAGTCAAACAAAGAGACCATATTACAGTTATTTTGTTAGCTATATTTCAAGAGATTAATCTACTAGACTGAAGCAAATTAGGTTTACTTGTTTATCTCATTTAAAAAAAATCATGTTAAAATTTGAATATTATGCATCAGGCTTTTAAGTAATGTTTATTTGTACAGTACATCTCTCAATTATCATTGTACTACTTTGTAGGTCTAATACATGTTTTGTCACTTCCAAAAAAACGACTAAAAAATACAGAGCTTTGATGATAAAACCTTTAAACCTTTAAAAAATTAAATATCATCTTTGTAAGTCTCATTATTGGGTGCCATTGAGTGACACCTGACATTGGTATGCATGTAAGTAGTCGGCTATACTGTTACTGTTTACATTACAAGCTATCAGAATTTCATCTTACTTTTGGGGCATATAAATATCAACGACTGCGTGAAGTTGCATATTCTTGATTAGTTTTGGCCTCTGAATAAAATTGAGCCGTTTTTTTCCATAAGTGTGAGCTGTTTGTTTTAAAGGGTCAATAAACTGTTCCATTAAAAAAATCTGAGGTAACACTTAACTTTAAAGCTACCTATGCATGTGGACACACAAATATTTTGGTCTGTAGGTCATCATAAATAATAATATATGTAATGTCCTTTTCACAAGATGCAGAGGTAAAGTTGCATTTTGGTTCTCAACCAGCTTACCTCCAGTGGTGTGTGTGTGTGTAGACTAAACCACACTAATACAGACTGTGACCCCTGAAGTTATGACCTAATTCAGCGATGGGCATCTTGGGTCCTGGAGGGCCACTGTCCTGTAGAGTTTAGCTTCAACCATAATCAAACACCTGCTAATCAATGTCCTCAGGATTACAAGAAAAATGAGGGCAAGTGAGTTTTTTTATCAGGGTTGAAGCTAAACTCTGCAGCAGGACCATAGTTTCCCATCCTTGACCTAATTAGATTTGCTAAATTTTTTACCTTCATATTATAAATGATATTTGAGGATGAAAGCATGTTAGAAATAGGGTTTGGATTCATATAGGCACTGTATATGCGTGTGGTTTTATTCACTATTGATCAAAATATAATATATATATATCCCTCAGGTGTTCTTCGGTCATTTCTGTTTTGAATTTCCAAAAATCACAGCTTCATCGGAATGTTATGAAACTTGGTGACTTTTATGGCATTATGTATGTGAACACACAAAAAAATTGAGGTCATGATCTGAGCATGCTAAGTGGTCTTAAAAAAATAGTCACACTTGTGGTCTTTGGTCAAAAATGACCCCCATAGGAAATGAATGGGAAATTGACAAAAACACAAAAAATCACAAATTTTTATTTATTTATTTTTACATTTATTTAATAAAAAATCGTTTTTGAGATTGTTTCAATATATATATATAGAAAAATATATATATTTCCATGGCAAAAATAGACCATAAATATTAATAAATTCAATCAAATTGTCTCAAAATACTAAATTACAAAGAATAAATATTATAGAACAAAAATAAATTGCATTGGTTTTACTGTGATGGAGGAAATTCAATTTTTAGGTGTCCGGTCACTTTTGACCAGGAAGATAACATTCGGATAAGATTCGGTTGACTCCGAAACGAAGAGCACCTGAGGGTTAAATATAGAAAAGTTTTATTCCGTAAGGATGCATTAAAAGTTACAGTAAAGATTTATCTTTACTTATCTTTTACCTAAAATTATCATGTTTACACAAAAATATTAAGCTTCAAGCCTGATTTAAGAAAGAGTGTCATTTTCCACCAAGATGAAACCGACATTTTGAAACAGATGCATTGCAGTCCGTGCAATACTATCTATCAATATTTATCAAAGGATGCATTCAATTCATCAAAAGTGACAGCAAAAACATTTAAAATGTGATAAAAAAATAAATTCTGTTCTTTTTAACTTTGTACTGAAAAAAGTATCAGTTTACACAAAAATATTAAGCAACACAACCATTTTCAACGCTGGTAATGATAATAAATGTTTCTTGAGCACCAAATCAGCATATTAGAGTGATGTGATGTGACACTGAAGACTGAAGCTGAAAAATTCAGCTTTTCAATCACAGGAATAAATGACAGGAATAAATAAATACATTTTCAAATATATTCAATTAGAAAACAGTTATTTAAAAGTGTTATATTCCACAATATAACTGTATTTTTGATCAAATAAATTCAGCGTTGGTGAGCATACGAGACCTTTAAAAAAATCTTTCAGACGCAAACTTGTAAATTCAAATGTAAAGCTGCCTTTTTAGGGTTAGGGGTTTGTTTAAATCACTAAGCTCAAATTTGATCAATAGTAATGGAGATAATAGCCTTAGCCATAATGAGCGCTTACAAGAACAACAACAAACTGGAACAACAAGGAAATGATGAAGCCCTCGTATTTAGGTGGTGTTTAAGAGAAAGATACGGAGGGAAAAGAGAGCTAGAGAATTTAATCCTTCATCTCCGGGAGCTACAGGTTGCTGCCTGTGAAGGATGAGGAGAGAGAGGCCAAGACAAATGGAAAAAGAGGGAGAGAAATTGTTAGAAGCGTCTCCCAGAAGAGCCTGGAGGGGCTCCTACCATCCCAGAATCCAATTTCCAATAAAGTGAAGCTTTATGGGAAAACGGTACAGCATGGCAGTGAGCAGATATTACAAAAAATAATGAAACTTTATCAGCCGCCGTTAAAACCCAAGCCGAGAGGAGAGGGAGCTTGAGATGTGCGCACTTGTTTTGCTCCATCCTTCCATTTCTTTCTGTCCTCTCAAGGTGACATACGATTTTGATAATACTCCAGGTTTAGTGAGCACATTATGAAGAGATCACGCAAATAATTAATATGTCAAGAAATTGTGTGCGTCTCTTTATCTGTCTCTGACTGTCCTTCTCTCTCTCTCTCTCTCTCCGTATCTTTTCAGGGACCCTGGAAAGAGCAGAACCACGATAAAGAGGCTGAATACGGAAAAGGCAATAGAAGCCAAGTGGGAGCAGTTTATCGCCCCGCCAAAGGTTTTCTCTTCCAAATAGGCTCTTTCTCGCTGGAATCTTTGAGTTCCTCTGGCTCTATGAAGCGATGTGTTCTCCCCAAGCACGCCAATGGGATTTAGACAAGTGTGCCACATTAGTTGCTTTCTGGAAGACAGTTAATAAGAAAAGGGCTAATTACACTCTCGGCAGATAGAAACTGTAGGCAACGATTATGGAGGGTGGCTTGATGGCTAAAGATCTGAGCTGGTAACCAAGTGGTGAGCTATGATGAGCCGTCGCCATTTTGGCCATTGATCAAGAAACTTTGGGTGTGTTTGTGATGGAATAGTAGCATGCTGCTTGGTATACACTCTATATACTAATAATGCAGAGTAGTGTGTGGAAAAAGATAGTATTGAAACATTTAAAACGGTAGTACTGTATTCAACATTTTATCAAGTCACATTGATTCATATTACACTTTCTACGATACAGACTAAAAATAAATTGTTTAAAAGCAACTTCACACTGTTAATTACACACAAAAATTACTGTTATGAGTAGTTCAGTCCTTTAAATTTACATAACATAAAAAAACGAACAAATCTTTTTCTGAGTCATTTGGTTCATTCAACGAACGAAACGAATGAATTGAGTCGGAAAAAGATTTGTTCATTTTGATGAAACAGTTCGAACAGGAGAGTCACAAACGTGCGTCACAGAACAGAGCAAGGCGAGCAATTGAGCTTATAAAACTTAAACTTTGTTATTTATTTATTTATTAAATTTCGCTTGATCTTATCTTATTATTTCGCTTCCCTTATTCATCGTCTGGAATCGTTTAAAGCCCTTTGAACAGTTTGTAGTTTGCACTGAAACTGTCCTTTTGACCTTGAACCGTTTGGTTCCCATTGAAGTCCATTATATGGAGAAAATCCTGGAATGTTTTCATCAAAAACCTTAATTTCTTTTCGACTGAGGAAAGAAAGACGTGGACATCTTGGATGACATGGGGGTGAGTAAATTATCAGCAAAAGTTTTTTGAAAAGTGAACTACTCCTTTAAAGCTACACTGTGTGATTTTTACCCCCATCTAGCGGTGAAAAGGTATATGACCATCCAGTGAATATTAGTTTCTGTTACTCTCAATTCCAATTTCGTTTTAACTCCTACGGTGGCCAATGTAGTCCAAGATTAACATGGCTTCTAGTTTGACCTCGTCCATGAGTGTTAACTCAAACGTAAACGTGAAAGGCGAAGCTTGAATTAACGGGTCTGTCCCTCTTTGGCTAATGTACTTTCAAGATGGAGGGGCAACATGGCGACCGACATTAGAACCCCTTACCCGTATGTATTTTCAATGGCATATTATACACTCACAAGAATACTTTATTACTTGAATGAAGTAAATAGACATTAATGAGCACATATTTTTTTGAAAGAACTACGTGTTTTTAGCTAAGAATAAACTAAAAGAGTTACACAGTGTAGCTTTAAAATTTTGAATTGTGGTGTCTAACCAGAGACAAAGTCGTTCCATCTCAAAAGTACAATTTAGACAAATATACAACTGAAGTAACAAAAGTAGTCATTTTAAATTTTAAAAACATGTAAGTGCTTTAACCAAAATACAGTTATCACATTTTTGCGTTTAACCCTCAGCTTGCTCCATAGGCTGCCATTGTAAGTGGAAAACACCTGGGGAAAAATCGAGATAATATTCTAAAGCAATTTACAGCACGACACAGCTGCTGTGAAACTGATACAGATAAACACACTCATTGATTCACACTCACAGCCTGAGTGACTTTCACTGGTGTCTGGTTCTTGATGGGTGGACAACAAAACGACTGTTATCTTTTTTCCATCTCACTGCCAACTGAACTGTCACTTGTCTTGCTCACACAATCACATGTAGTCATGGCAACAGTGCATGCCATCATCAACACCATGTACTTCAGTGCTGTGCTGTTTGGTTCACAGGACAAAGAAAGACGAAACAAAATCCATTCGAATTTTAGGTTTGACATGGGCACTTTTAGTTTGGATGATAGCTCCATTTCTATACACTGTGATTCTTGGATAGCTTCTGAGTGCAAATATTTCTCTCCTCTCTGTGCTCTCACTGACAACGAATTTCTGAAGAATCCTTCCCTGGGTTTAAAAATGCTTGTGTCTGCTACTGTATATCCCAGATGCTGTTTTTGTTTGTGCCCCACCTTGTGATGGTATGAATGAACACTATAGGTGTCCTGTATTTTTGCCTGAAGATTGTGTAGACCGCACAGAGTAGATCAGAGAGAAGTACTGAGCCCTGATGAAAGCTTAGGCTCTGCGAAACTGCCTTTGTTTTCTCACAGTCATTACTGTTTATTTCGTTCCCTATAAAAGCAATGAAAAGGCCTAATAAAGCCTCTTTCGGCTGTGCCAATTAATCAAGCCTGAGACTAATCCAAACGATTTAAGAGTGAAATCCAAGAGCTGGACTCTGAAGATATCCCTCTTTACTGGAGTTTTATTGTTACCGGTTTAATTGGTTTTGGGATAAAACCTGCTGTATGAGAATGTATTTGAGAATAATCAGTGATGGGAAGAATCAGTGTGAGCATTCATTATTTATTATGTAAGCTTATATAATCTCCCAATTTAATAAGTCGATATATTATTAATAGATAATAAATCCTGAGGACTGAAAATGACATCGTTATGGTTTGTATTTATGAGGCATGAAACCAGCCAATTTATTCAAGAGTTATGTCTTTTTTCATCTGTCTGCAACAGCATCCTAGTTTATTTTATGTAATGGAAAAAAATCATTTTTACTCAACATTTATATGTTTTGTCTAAGTTAATGAAGTGTTGTATTTGAGGGAGATGATATTTTCATAGGGATGAATCTATTTGAATGCTTATTGAGAGACTGAATGAAGGTTAATTTCTGCTGTCATCTTCTGTTTACATAGAGGTGGGTCATAAATTTAGTGTGTGAAATATCGATCGCCCAGCAGAGGGCGTGCTTGGATCATTTACACATCCAAAAAATGAGATATGGGTATATATGGCAGTGGAACTACTTATGTACTTATTTATAACTGCAACATCGTTTTGCCTCTTTGAAAAACTCGTATTTGTGGTGTAAATTGTGTTTATTTATGTGTGTGTTTCAGATCTCCAGAATTTATTAAACCCAGCTGTAATTCTGATAACCAAATCTCCTCCGCTTCAGACAGGTGAACTAGCACAGCAGTCAACTATCATTATACTATATTAAGGGGCACCAGTCACATGTAATTTGTTAAATATATATATATATATATAATTTATAAAATGTTAATTTGGTGACATTTTGGATTTGGGTCCTAATCTCACTATTATGAGGTTTGCCTCCTAATTACTGCTTATTAATAGTCAGTAAGGTTGTTGTTAAGTTTAGGTAGTGGGTTAGAATAAGTAATGTAGAATATGTACAATGCAGAGCAAGGCATTAATATATGCTTTATAATTGCTAAAAAACAGCAAATATCCTCTTAGTAATATGCATGCTAATAAGCGTAGCTAATAGTGAAAACTGGACCCTAAACTAAATTTAATAATATCATAATTTGATTGCAGTCACCTGTAGTTGCATGTAATGGCTGATTTGTTGTAATGGCTGTAGTTTTGTTGGTTATCATATCATCTGCATGGGAATGTGATGACTCTTGATTGCTGTGATGAGTTTATTGTCAGATTTCATGTGACCAATTGTCTCCATTATAAAAACAGCAATACAGTCAAAGTCCATCCTGAGGCCAAGCAAAACACAGATGGAGAGTCTCAGCCAGTGATGAGGTCTGTTTGCTGTTTCCGGAATGCCTTTGCTATGAATTATGATATAGTGACCGTTGGCAACACAAGAAGTGACCAAAAATGATCAGGCCATTTTAACCCACTTGTTGATGAGCATGGAAACAGACATTAAGGATTGGAGAAATATGAGAGCTTAAGGTTTCTCTCACTTGATATCGTTCAAAAGTTTGGGATTGTTTGATCTTTTTTTTTTTTTTTTTACGTATTTGAGGCTGCATTTATGTGGTAAAGTAACAACAGTAATATTGTGAAATAGTACATTTCATTTAAGTATTTTCTATTTTAAAATGTAATTTATTTTTGTGATGGCAAATATGAATTTTCATTCGTCGGTGTCACATGATCCTTCAGAAATCGTTACAATACACTACAGATACCCCACAGTAATCATAAAATAGTAGCTGCAGATATGTGGATGGTTAAAGCTTACATATTAACTTTGAAAAAAAAAATCAGCTCATTTGTTCCAAACAAGGCCCTTTGACTCATCCCCATATCAACCCATAGTACTGTGGGCCTTTTGCATTGACCTTTATTTTCATACACTCCACCTACTAATATGCTATAGATAACAGACACAGTTTGTGGGAAGTAAACCGCTCAGATCAGTGTTCAACAGTCTTCCTCCCTCATCTCCTGTCTAAACTGTTGTGCAAAAGTGTGCAGGGTGTCGTCCCAGATGAAACTGCTCCATAGATTTACTGTGTAAATCCTCATGCTGTCTTTCCCTCTGGTGCACCATTGTACATCCCTCACATGTGTACTGCCCATGTAAAGGCACCTTTGTTGTGTGCAAAATGATATTACTATTATATTTTTCTTTATTCCTACATTGTGTTTTACTTTTATTAGTTCCCCTGTGAGGCGAAGCTCTGCCACTACTCAATTGGACAAAGCAAAAGAGTAAATTTATCTGATACTCTGGACCTCTGTAGCCTGGCTGCGCCCTCCTACGCACTTCCGCTCAATTTCATTTTACTTCAGTACTACGTCTGGGATCGCTCCATGTTTCGAGAAGGGTCTGACTGCAGAGCCGCAGAGCCGCAGTTTTACCCCAGCAGTTTCACCCCAGCAGTTTTACCCCGCGCATGCGCAGTTTCACTATAGCAGTTTTATCCGGTCGTTTTGAATAAGTTATTAAATTGTCTTCACTGCAGTCAGTTCAGCAGTGCTGTTGGACAAATCATTGTTTTATTTAACATATATTCATGTCGCAGGAAACTTGCAGCACCAGGCCGTTGGATCAAAATGAAAAAACAAACAAACAAACAAACAAACAAAACAAAACAAACAAAGTAAGGGTATTTTGTTTGAAATGCAATTCGCCATTTCAGCATATCTCCCATCAACTCGATATGACATCCTGTCGGGTCTTCATGATTATGGTAAGTTATTGGACTTTTATCAGTCTGTCTCCACTCTGTTAAATCAAAAATATATTGTAAAATGAATGTTTCAGTATGCTTTACACATCGTATTGAATGAACCCGTTGATTTCACTGCTGTAAGTCTTATTTCTACGTTATATTAATATTATTGTTGTTAATAGTATTCATGGAAGTATTGCTTTTTTCTCAGCATGACATTCATGACACAATAAGTGGTGCCTTCTCCTCATGGAGAATTTTCTTTCTAGGGTTTAGTTATTATTATTTGTCATTTAGCAGACACTATTATCCAGAGTGACTTTTAGTAAACTAACTTTAGGGACAGT